TGTTTTATATAGAGTGAACTTTGTTGTGTTCTTGTGCACTTGTTTTTGTTGAAATGTGATTACGTAAGCTTGTTCTGGCGTATACAACTGTATATATAATTATTGGATTATATATTCATCTATGTGAAGATTGAATTGTATGAATACTTATTTTCAATGAATTTGCATTTTGTTGTTGTTGTTGTTTTAATTAAATTATATTTGTAAAAGGAATTTAGCAACGTGTATAAAAAGTCTGTCATGGTTAGTGTGGTATATATGTTAATGCATGACGTTGTAAAACACAAATTGTATACTGGTATTGTATATGGACAATGTATTCTTTCCGCGTATACAGCTCATGTCAAGTCAGGATTAGGTTTTAGTTATTCATCCAGCTGTTATTTATCTATTTTGTGCTATGTTCTTTTCATAATTCCCAACGAAAAAATGTACATATTTTTTCAAATATAGATATGTCAGTATTTTCAGAAGGAAAAAAATCTACACAGATTGTATTGCCTCTGTAAATAAACGTAATCTAACACTTTGTGTTTAAATTAATTAAATGTTGAGATAGTGATAACCTTTTCTGTGCTTCTTTTTTAACTTTCAGATTCTGTTTTGTTTATAATATCCTGGATAAATATTGCTGAAAATGCGATTTTGTCTCATCTAGCTATATAGTACATTAAACCATAATTAGTTTGCGATTTCTTTCACGTTTCAGGTAAGAATACAAATAATTTGTATATAAGCTGTTTCTATTTTCATTCCGAGAGTGTTTTTTTTTTCATCAAATATACGAAATTTGCTGACGTCGCTGTATCACACAACACGGAGATAGTTGTTGCATTAGTTTGCAGTGACTTTTCATTGACCTTATTTAGTACAGTTTAAGTGTCATAATATTTCATTGACTGTCGCCTGTAATTGATAGATAAATGATGATATGATGCATATGTTTGCGATAAACGTTTATTGTAAACATCCATTTTCGTGTTGACGTTCATGATCAAAGGGAAGTAATGCATTTATAAAATACAGAAAATGCTAAGAAGAGTTACACCGCTTCCTAACATATATCGGATATCAATTATCTACAAATATTAAACTTGTGATTTTACTTACTTGTTCAATGTTTTGTTGATTCTTTGTTTTAGTTGTTTTTAATATGTAAACAAATAATATAAAAGATAAGAGCGCTTTTGAAATGATATGGATCACAAGAAGAAATCAAATAAAACTTACGGATTGAACTATACGATATTGATATCAATACCGAGTAAACCAAAGGTATTGTTATGCTTTTAGTGAGTGAGTTAATTGAATTGAATTGAATAAAGTTCGGTTCTGTTTACATGGTGACAGATATATAGTGTATTGCCGAAGACGATTACATGTTAAGCAAACGCAACAAAACAAGTAAAACGACGATAGTTTAAATGTTCATCCGTTTAAAACCCATTTCCAAGTATCTGCTTAAGTATTTTATACCATTATAAAAAATTCAAAATTGTGTTTCATAGAAACATATTCAGATTAAGTACATGTTGATTAAGAATAGCCTGTAATAGATAATATAAAGGAAATCGATCATTTACATGACGTTTAATATACTGATATTACATACTTCCTCGTGGCTTTAATTGCATAATTAAACTCATAAGTTACATTAATCACATGACGTTAAAATGTTTTGTTTATCTTTTTATTTTTTATTTTTTTAACCTCTTGCGTTACCGATTGCAACATTTTTGTTTGTTTATGTTTGAATTACGGAATACTGTCATTAAAAGTCTGTTGGTAAACACTCTTTTGGCAGTTTATTTGTATGTTAAAAGGTTTTGTTATGTCATCTTGAATGTTTTGTCACAAATTTGACATGAAACATAGTTCAAATGTCCTTGTACAAATGCACTTACAAATAAAAGTCAATCGCTCCTTTATTTCAAAGTTTTAGTACGGACAAAGTATAATCGCTTTGAAAACCACCCAGTTTAGAGATGGACATGGCTTAAATTGATAATCTTGAGCTTCTTGACGTCGTAAAATTACCATCAACCGGGCACTTTGTGCCTGTATAATTGCTGACAATGTCGTAAAATACTGAAATAGGCCTTGATCTGCTTACAAAAACAGTGTCAAGCAGATATAAGGTCATTGTAGATATAAAATTGTTTCATGTTTATGTATTTTCCCACATTAAATTAATCGCTTGTAGTGGCTGCCAAGTTAGTACTATTCTTTAGTCAATATTTTGTTTATCTTAATACGTTTTAAAGTAACTCATCTCTCAGCTGACTAATAAGAACTATAGTCAGTGATAAATAATACATGATGATTATATGATTGGTTGCATAGAACATGCGGGACACGGAAATCGAGATTGGAGGCTGGGTATGAGAGACGGGGGGGGGGGTGAAACCATCGGCATATAACGTATTGTTCTTTATCATTTGCTATAGGTTTAATATGTTATGTGGAATGATTTGCTTTGACGTCTTTGACAATAAAAAATGCAATAAAGATGAAACATTAGTTAACGGTACAAAACAAAATATCTTAGCACTATTTACCCCCACCGATCGTTCTCCCCACCGCTCTATTTTCTTAGTTATTATTTTTGTCATGATAAGTTAGCATACTTTCATAGGCGATAATTTACTGGAAATTTTGGCGTGTATTACGTGAAATAACATGACAATTGACCATGTTTATCACTTACGACAATGTGACTGGGAGTTACTGTTACGTCAAACATTTGTTTGTGATAATTAAATATGACGCCAGCGGGATCGTAGTGATGAAAATCGCTGCAAAATAAGGCAGTCGTTTAAAGGCACATTATGCCTAAGAAATAAATAAACTTTTGATTCTTGAGAAAGGGCAAACTTTAATTTTATAAAATGTTGGATGCTTGTTACCAGAAGAGAGTAGTGATCAATATGAAATTATTTGTCATAAATGTAGCAAAATGTAAACAAAGTTGTATTTTGGCTTCCATACAAAATACTAATTCCCCAAAAAGCAACATATTAAAAAGATGTTCCAGTTAATTGCCCAATAAGTAAATTTTAGGATACTACAAAAGTACACTAAAATAAAAAAAGTTCTGAGAAATAAAGATAAAAGCATTTCTGATGCATAATGGGCCTTTAATCAATGAGGACACATGGATATGTTCGGTGGCATGCTTTCCTTCGCTCTTAATTAAAGTGGTCATAATTATGTAATTCAGTTAAATATACATGTATATTGCTGACTTGCAATGAGTCGCTGACATGCTCACCACCTGACAGACTGATAGCTGCACAATTATTTTAAACACTTTGATATCAATAAAGTTTGTTTTTGCTCTATTGATGTTAATATTGTTTGATAAATGTTCATCCGGTTCTTATTTCTTTAGATAAACTCGAACGTGGTATTGTCATTTATGGAGATAATCACGTCTGTTAAAGGTCAAGGCCGCCCTCAAATTATAATGATAATGATATGATAGGCTGGATATTCAATTCGATCATACTATTTAGTAGAAATTGTTGTTACGGATTCAATTTACAATCGCAAAGCAAAGCTACATACATTTGAGAGTATATAAACAAAGTTACATACATAAACATAAACAAAAGTACATAATTTATATAAACACCGTTACATACATTTATATATACAAAGTTACATACATATATATCAACAAAACTACATACATTTATACGAACAGAGTTACATACATTTATATAAACAAAGGTACATACATTTATATAAACAAAGTTACATACATTTATAGAAACAAAAGTGCGTACATTTATACGAACAGAGTTACATACATGTATACCGACAAAGTTACATGCATTTATATAAACAAAGTTTCATACATTTTACATAAACTTGTGTAAAACTACATACATTTATACGAACATAGTTACATACATGTATACCGACAAAGTTACATACATTTATATAAACAAAGTTACATACATTAATATAAACAAAACTACATACATTTATACGAACAGAGTTACATACATTTATACCGACAAAGTTATATACATTTATATGAACAAGGTTACATACATTTATACAAATGAGTTACATACATTTATACCGACAAAAATGCATACATTTATAAAAAGACAAAATTACATACGTACATTTATACGAACAGAGTGACATACATTTATACCGAAAAAGTTACATACATTTATACAATATTCATTTATTTACGTGTCATAGATATGAATAATTAGACCAATCAGCTAAAGCACACACCTTTGAAACATGCTTATATATTTAAAAACAATAAGAAGAATACTACCATATTGTCATGCTTACCCTTTTTCCTTATTGATAAATACTGGTCTTTTTAAGGTTAATTTTGTTATTACTGCACCTTGTGTGACAAGGCCGTCATGGGGATATATCTAATTGTTATATTTATATCATTTTTATTCCACGTTCCAATTAATGATAATGATAAAAAATAAAGAACAAACACTGGTATTCTGCAGCCAAAGCTATTTCTTAAGTACTTATCTAATTTTTTTCCTCACGAATGCCGCCTTGTAAAATAGCGTCTGTTATTTTAGTTTCTCATATTATAGAAATTGAATGTCCATTGGGGGGAATTCCCCGAGTTTGTAAGGATAATGCATTGATCAATGATTTTACTCGATCTATCTTATTAAGATATAATGATCCTGATAACATAGTCATACTAGCCATATTCATTTCTACTTTATGTTCATGAAAATTTACAAGCTAGTTCTTGCCGTTACCTTTCTTTTCTTTTTTACAAAAGGTTCGTGTTAATTAACTGTAAATCAATCAGCTTTCACTAAGAGAGCTTTTTATGTAGATTAGTAAACGATCTTATTTGTATTTGCTTTATAAATACGCAACTCTTACGTTTTTGTTTATACTTAAACATCGGCTAAATGATCGATTCAACTCTTTCAAGTATTACGCTTACATTATCCTAATGTAACGAGTAAATTTCTTTTTTCCCTTAATTTCAGGTTTATATCTAATTGAGTAGTGTCCAGCGGTGACCAATTATTATTATCGATCACTGAAACAGGTGTGATTGACAATAGCTATTGAATAACATACAACATGTACTTCTGATAGAACTACAATACTGCTGTGTGTTGCTTAGCAACCGTTTCTCGCGACATTCAGCATCCCAATTAGCAAATCGTTATCGAGAACGCTGTGACGTAAAGCGGTGAAAATGCCGCCACCAAATAGCCCGCCATATCAGACGAGTAGTCGCCCGTTGCTCGGCGTTAAAGCACGAAGTCAACCGACTAGTAATCAAACGTCTATCGCAAGTCGAGGGCAACAGTCGCCGTTCAACGCTGTTGCTCCGACCATGGGTAACGGGGCAAGTGCTACTAAAATTGTGATAGATGGAGAGACGTTGGATTTAGTAAAAATTAAACAAATAATTCCTGAGCTGAGGAAGGAATTAAAACAGAAAGATGCAAGAATTCAACAATATGAGCAAGAGTTATATGAAAAAAGTAAACTATTGGACGAAAGAATAGCGGATGTAAATAGATTAAAAGAAGAGGTACATAAACTTAAATCAGTGTTACAATTAAAGGTTCACAAGGATGGTAAGCCTGATATTTTAGCAACGATACAGGAAGATGGGGCTGTCACTCAGGGACACGAAAGGGCCAAGAAACAGGGAGTTTCGGGAGAAAGTCCTATGACAATCGGAGAAGGGCATTTGGAGATTAAACATTTCGAAAAGGATTTTAGGTAAATATATATTTAAGTTTTTCTACATACATGTGAGTTTTTAAAGCGTTTAATATAATATTGGCCATAATATTACTATAGTGTAATAGAAGTAGTATTACGTCCTGGGTGTAATACACTTAAATGTTATATCATGAAATACTTGAAACAGTATTTGTATGTTTGTTTTGCACTTGATAATTGTGTACCCTCTTCATTTACATGTATAACAGGGATTTCTATTTTGCTTTGATGATAAAATGTCATTGCAATTGAATGAATGATTTACCTATCTGCAATCATTGATGTTTATTTGTGTAAATTGATGATCATCTATCATTTTGGATCATTTGTTTTACAAGCATGTTAAGTATATGTTGTTATCACACACACTCATGAGCCTTGACTTTATCTTACCTCATATGGTTATTGACATAATGATAAAATGTAGAAAGAAAAATGTTTGTATCTCTAGACAATGAATAAATGCTAGGGATTTATAAACTCATATTTTCATATGCTCAATATCTGGGAAACCATAGAATGCTTAGCATAATAATGTAAATATGAGAGAGGATTATAAGTTAAAATATCTTATATTATATAGAGGTTTTTGATAATTATTATTATCAATGAAATTAAATACACAAAAAACCCCAAAAAGTACTCACGCCTGTATACATTTAATTACATGAAGTTAAGTATGGTGCCCTTTATATGAACTTAATTATTTAATATTTTAAGGTAAAAATTTATAACGTAACACATTAAGTGATGATAAATTTGTCCAAATTTGACAATTTTTCTCTGTCTACTTCCTGACTTCATTTTGAACACACTATATGAAACTATCTGATACATTAAAGCTGTAACGATTTATCAAAACCATTTAATAGCGCAAACAAATCACTTGGGATAAAAATCTCAATGTCAATATTAAAGTAGGTTGGTTCTTTTAAAATAAGTATCCTTGCGTTGACAATAGGGGTTACCTAGCCAAGTCAAATGAAGGAGAAATGAATGAGGGGATTTGTTTATCTATTCACAAAGATGTGGGAATGTTTACCCTCATTTTAAAATCAATAATATTTATTATTGTACAACAAGAAAAAAAGACATAAAAGTTAATAAAAGGTCACATTAATTGTGGTTTTAGTGATGAAAGGTGCGTGTATGTTCTCTTCAGATGCAGATCAGAAAGTCATGGAACATTTATATGTACTTTAAGCTCTAGCTAAAGCCTTTAAGTAAATAGGCCAAAGCAAATAATTCCTGTAATGGGTTATAGTCCTAATGTAATGATATACTGAATAAATATCATGTATTGATAAAAGCTAATATAATTAAACATTTTATTGGGATAGCAACATGATATAAAATTTATAATTTGAAGTAAAAATAATATTTTCAGAAGGTAATTCAAGTCTGCGTTCAAACAATATCATGTAATCTAAATGTTACATAATTCTATATAATTCCTAAAAGTAACTTTTTGTAGTTTTGTAGTTGTGACCATTATTTCAGGTTTTCTATCAATTTTGATGTTTTTCATTGCTTTATATTTCAAATTTATCTTATTGTGGAAAAAAGTTCAATTTTCATTGTAATTTTTTTAAACAATTATTAGAGCATTTCGCCTAGCTAAATATAATTTATCAAAGTTGTTTAACTGTCAGTTGAATCAGAAAATTAAAAAAAAAACAACAAAGATATCATATAATATTTCAAGATTATTGGTGGGTTCAGTATTAAAGGTGGTATAAATGCATATATAAAACACCTATAAGAATATCCATATTTGACAGCACATCAGTCCAAAATGTTTGGTCTAATATTTATTACCTCCCTTTATGATCCTAATTATTATATGTATAAAAAACAATTAATTACTTTTAATTAGAATTTCAAATTCTTTTAGGAACCATCATTTAAATTTAAGCTCTTTGAAATTATTTTAAAATGTCTACAACAACATATATATTAGTTTGTAATGTATGTGATGTAAAGGAATTAATTGAAAAATGTAAAATGAATGTATTGTTTAAAAAGGAAAATGTAAATAAACAGGCCTTAAACGTGGTTTAACAAAAAAAAAACAATAACAAAAAAAAACATTTAAAAGATATTGTACCATTTATTTGGTCTTTTCCTTCATCTGTTTCAGGTTTTTTACACAAGAGTAAAATGAAAATTAAACATTTAATTCTTGTAAATAATTACATGTATGTTTATTTAATTTGCATGTTGAAGTAATTAAAATTAATGCATGTCTTAAGGCTATTTAAGCTGTATGTTTGCCTGAAATAGTAATTTACTTAACTTTTTGTTATAATATTAATGAGCCATGCCATGACAAAACCAACATAATGAGCTTGCGACCAGCATGGATCGAGACCAGCCTGCGCATCCTTGCAGTCAGATCAGGTTCTATGCTGTTCGCTTACAAACTCTATAACAATTAAAGAAACTGATAGCAAACAGCATGGATCCTGATCAGCCTGCGCAGATACGCATGGTGCCGCTCATATTGTTTATAATTTTAACTGGTTGAAAATAACTTCAGAACATTTTTATATTGTGAATTATAGTATAATAATAAATAACATTGAAATATTAATGTCCTAAGGCTGACCAAACTGATTTAAAATGTGATACTACTGTGATAATAAAATCTGAGATAAATCAAATATCAGTGACTATAATAAGTCTGAAAATATTTTAGATTGATGTGAAAAATATACACAATCACTGAGTTTTGATGTGCCCGTAGCATACAGCATTATTATACAGATATTAAGGATAAAATCAAACACTTGACTGTAAAAATATCAACACTAAATATCATCTTATTTCAGGTATTATCTTAACTTCCTACAGGCTGCTAAATTTTGCCTTCTTTTAACTGTTATCATACATTTTTGTCATTCTTGATAAATCTGAATTGTAAAAAAAAACAAAAAAAAACACACACACCAAAAAAACAACAAATTTCATGATTTAAGTCAGTCATTGTAAAATAACTATTTCAGGCTTTGCAATGCATTAAATTCCCTTCTATCACATAATTATTGATTTTTGGGATTCAGTGTTGAAAAATATTTATTTAATATTTTAATTGTTCTTAATAATAATCAAACAACTATGAAGATCCTGATGATAAACCTTATAGGAATACTAGATCCACAATAAAATAAAATCACAAAAAAATCTGTCTTTAAAACTTTTCTGGGTGGTAATGTGTGGTTTATTATTAAGTCTTAAAATATCAGCATTAGTCTAAATCTCACAAGATTGAAGTACAGGAAGTAAAGGATGGTGTTAACTAAATATTGTTCCATCTTGGTAAATTACATTTCAAACAAAAATCACTTATGGAAATGTCATGTGGCCAACACAGAATGATGTTGTTCATTATTTTATTAAACTTTTTTCCACCACAAAAACTGAGAAAACTTCATATCTTACTGGCTTCAATGTTGTTTTTTTTATTAGTCAATAAAGTGATTATTTGCATGCCTTATGTAATAGCTCTTTTTTTTTTGATATCAGAAAAATAATGCAGATTTTGTAACTTCATAACAGAGCTAATTTTCTAACCAAAACAATTTCTTTGAAAAAAAATTACAGTTTTTGTGACCACTGGGTTTTATTTTGTTGACCTCAGAAATATTGTATTGCAGCATGGCTCAATTCTTGGAACATTGTTCTGACATGTTACTTCAAACAAATCCTGCTTAGATTTGTTACATCTTGAATAATAATGGGCCAGATTCTGATTCCTTGATATCAGACTGAATCTGTTTACCTTACTATAGTTGTATAAGATTCTTTTACCTATAAAATGTGAAATAACTTTTCTGACAGATAATCATGAAACAATTCTGTAAAATATGCAAAATGATACAATTCCCCACACATTTTCAAATTATTTTGTCCTGATAAAGAAAATATACATAAAAAACCAGCAACATAAAATAATGCAAATCATTTAATTTAAAATAATAAATATTCATATATTTAAGAAAGTATAACCTAAATTCACTTTATTGGTTTTCAATTCTGTTAAAATATTACTTCGTCACATGCAAAATCTGAAAATTATTGATGAATATTTTAAATATATTGGGATTACAATCTGAAAATCTTTAATTTATAAAATCCAAACATGATTAAAAAATGTTTATTGATTGAAAATTAAAAATTCTAGATCAATATGTTTTAAAAAAATATTCATAATTAATTAGATTTTCAAATGAATTGTTAATTCACTTAAAGTAATTACAATAGTATATGCAAATTTTGACACTTTGTTTAAATATATTTAATTGACTTTTTCTTTAAAAGTTATGTTGACTTATGTTATGTACAATAAATCAAATTTGGTCATGCTCGCTAGAGAAAATTTCTACAGCTTTAAAATTTGAGTGTAAGAATATAAGCATCTTGTGGGACAAAATAGCCGTTACATTGTATTTTTAATTTACATAGTTGTTCAATTGTATTTTTTATTTCCGTATTTTTGATTTTGCTAGTCGTTACATCGAAATTTTGATTTCCAAAGTCATTGCATTGAAAATCGTTATATTGAATTTTTGATTTCATAGTTGTTATATTGAATTTTTGATTTCATAGTCGTTATATTGAATTTTTGATTCCCGTTCGTTACATTGATTTTTTGATTTCCATAATCTTTGCTGTTGTGACTTAAAATATCAAAGAAGTCAAGGAAACATATCTGTGCTAAGATTTGTATATAGGTTATATAACTTATTTACTATCTCTGAGAGATGCTATGTATACAAATATTTCCAGAAAACGAGAGAATGTGATTTATTGCATTGGTTTATCTCTGATATAGCACTTTCTTATATGTGCTGTAATGTACTTATTGATCAGTTATATGTGTCTCTGACAAATCAGCAGGGAATTTCAAACTAATGCCTAAAGCTTAGAGGAGTTTTTTTTCCCAAATGCATTTTCCAATATTAAATCAATTTCCTTGTGAAGTACTTGTATAGCATGATGTGACTATATAAAGTCAGGCACTGGCAGTGACTAAGATCTGGTTAAAATTTTAAATTCCTGTGAGAGATTTTTGAATATAAACAATATTGTTTTAAGAAATTTAAGATCTTCCTGACAAGAAAATTGAATATATAGTGATAGATTATAGATACATAAAGGGTAGACCTGGGGTGCCTTATAAGTGCTGTAGGTGGAGGTAAAGGTTATCATCGACAGATCAAGTTATAATATTTATATTTAAATATGATTAAAGGTGTACTCAATAATACCATGGATTCCTATGTAGCCCCGATTATATTACGATGACATTTTCTAGTGTCGTGCCTGACAATCTTTGGGAAGTTTCAGTTGTTACTATGTTTTGTTTAGGTGTCACTATGCTTTGAAAGCATCTTTAATCTAGGGGATTAATAACAAGTCTCATCTTCAAGTTTATTAATTGATGCTTAAGAGATATTATTAAAATTCCTTCTATAAAGAGGGTAAAAGGGGATTAGTATTTAAAGGACCTGTAAATATTTGTAAACAGATTGTACCTGTATTACAGTTAAGGGTCAACTGAAATGTGGCCAAATGCCATGGGCAATTTGTTTACCTGAAAATGTTAATTGGGTTAGTAACATACACAGAAGCTTTCATTGACGTGGATGATAGGATCTTGCAGTTTTGTTTTGAAAGCTCACCCATTTTCACCCTTTAAGTCCTTTGTATTATATATGTGCATGGTGGGCTTTTTTTTCTTTGAATAAAAGTGTCAAATAAAAATATTTTATAATTAATTATACTTCAGGATTTAAAAGCTAATTATCCAGCAGCTGAAGCTTACAAATATTTAGTTTAGACAGAATTTATGTTAGTTTGATTGTGTAGGAATTAAGCTATTAGCCAATAGAGATACTCTCAGATCAATTCCTGGAACCAACGAGTACTTAGCAATAAGTGTAAAGTTTCTTGCTCAAGGAAATAACGGCTTGACCCTGAAGACACTTACACCCACACAGCCAGATGCATAACCACTTGATCATGCCATTATTGCTGATTTTTGAAAATAGATATTTAAGTTTTTCAGTACATCAAAAGACAGATTTTTTGTTTTGATAAATGGATGATTTTTGTTTTATAATAGTAAAACAGAATTTGTAATAAGACTGTTTCTGTACAGCTTTTTCCACACTAATGAAATGCCTATTTCTTGACACCATTTCTTATTATATTTTCTATCAAGACCAGCCTGAGGTCACTGAATGAGTGCTTTATTCAATATTTGCAAATTGCATTCTTTCTATTTTCACAGAATTCCTGTAAGAGCTATAAGAAAATAAATTGATGTGCTAGAGATTTCTGTTAGACATTTTCCCGTTAGTTAATCAAGCAAATAAAAATGACTGTGGAACATCCAAGAAAATCTGAGAAAGCTGGGTTCTCTGTTTTATAACAAAAGGAATAGCGCTGGAAAAGGGGGTCACAATATACTGTTATTAACGCAATTTGATTAGTTGCTGTTGTCCGTCCAATCTAACACTACTGATCAATTACTTGAACAACACTGACCAATTTCTTGAACAATGAGTTTTCTCTGATAGTAATCTACTTCTGATACAGATTTAGCTGAAGGAATGCAATTTTTCTTAGAAAACAAGGCAATAAAGTTGCTGTCTTAGATTATATCCAGGAATATATAAGCTACTTTAGTTTGTAATAATCAGTTTGCTTAATCTACTATTAATCTAGATACGTTTTCAGACCAGAAAAATATGTGATAGCTATTTTTACCCTCATCTAATATCTTGTATAAACTTGCCCAGCTTTCATATAATCTTGACAAAACCAATTTATCTTTTTATGGAAAATAAGAAAAAAAAATACTGTCGAAATTAGGGAACACTGTGTAGACCATGATCAGACTTCACAGATGTACCTAGAGATTTTGATCTGCATGGACCATATATTATAATTGCTTTTGGTTATAAGGCCTCAGTCTTGCCCTACATTTGTTAAAGGGTGGGCAACTTTCTCTTTCTTTGATATAAACACAAAATCATATATTTTTTCTTTGATATAAGTGGGGATGTAAATTCCTTTTGGTATTATAACCATGTGTATAAACATCGCCAGCCAAGCATTGTTTTATGATAATAATCTATATAGAAAGTACAGGTCAAGTAATTTTTTCATTATGATGATTGACCAACATATGATGGTCAGATGATAATGACAACAACATTTGATGGTCAGTTTTGATGACCTATACAGTCATATAGTACATATTATGTTGTGATAAAGTTATTTGTTTCATCTATATTGACAGTAAATAGACATTAAAATATGAAGAATTTTGTCAGAATGTATGCATTGATATCAACAAGATTTAAATTACTACAAATTGTCTGCAAGTTGATAGTTAACATATTATTCTGTGTTGAAATTATTAAAAAATAGTGATGAAAAAACAGGGACTTTGTAGTACATCATTATGACTTTAAGGTCAAGTTAGCTTATAATGCTCAGCTTTTGACATCAAAAGTTCAAAACATGAAATTGGTAAAATTTTGAATTTAGAAACACATCCTATAAAAACTTCAGACTTTTGATTGGGAGAATAAATGGGGTAACCCTGTTGGGATGGAGATAGGGAAAAAAACAACAAAAATAACCCACCAAAAGTATGATGAATTATAGTCAGTGTAACAATCCATTGTGTGATTCATTGTTTTGTAAATTTTTGCACCTGTTCTAGATAATAACAGAAACAGATAATAATGTGAATGACATGCAACTTTTAGTAAATTAAATTGAATTCTTAAATCAGTTTTGAATTTGAAGCATAATAGTAGACAAGTAATAGACTATTTGGATACATTTAACATTGCATTATTTTAAAATACGCCTTTAGCATCCTGTCTTATACATTCTGCCAACAAAAGAAAACGATGAGTGTTTCTTGGAACTGATCTCTTTTTTTGTATTGAGTAAGTGATGAATATTTATGTAATAAACGAAAAAGAGCAGCGTCTGTATAAAACCGGATCTTATTTATTTACTTGAAATTGATTGGCTAATACTTTAATTAAGAAACAAATGATGTATTTATAAGTTAAAGAAATTTAAATAATAATTTCTTTTGTAAACAATAAGATTCTCTTAATAGTTTCCTAGCCTATCCTTGATGCAACATTCAAGAAAATGAAACAGCTGTTTTCTATTTGTTTACATGTATGTCTAGTCTTCCCATGTTTTTGATTTTATGTGATGTACATTTATGTATTTTTATAGTCCCCATTGGAAATCTATGGTAATTTCAGGTTTCCTCAGACTGTCAGATGTTACCACTGGACCATCTGTACACCCTAACTTTATATTTTGATGCACTGTTTTTATCATGTTATTACAAATGTACATTTGATATCAAAGGGCAGCAACTCTGAATAAATTTAACATAAGATAGCATCGTTAGAAATGAAATTATTCTGTATTTTCAGATCCAAACAGCTTATTAAGGATGCAATTTTAGACAATGATTTCTTGAAGAAGTTAGATTCTACGCAAATACGGGAGGTGGTAGAGTGCATGTATGAAAAGCAGGTCAAACAGGGTCATTATATTATACGAGAAGGGGATGCAGGTCAACATCTATATGTGGCAGCAGGTGAGAAAATGTCTAAAATAACTTTCCTAGACGGATAGTTTCATAACACTGCAATTCTCACAAAGTGTTATTACTTAAACAAAAAGAATGATGATTATTCTTCAGTGTTCAGAGTCAGTTACTTCAAATTGTTTATATAATTCTATTATTGATAGAGTCTGTTGCTCACCAAATGACAGACATAAAGAAACTGAGTTTTATAAATCTTTGAATACATCTCAAATTTTAGGCAATAACTGCTTGCCTTAGTAAAACATGCTAGGCCAGCATGCTGTCAATAATATGCAGTGTGGTAACTGCAGACCCCTATTCTATTGATATTATAATAAGTCATTTAAAATTCCTTGAAGTTACAATGGACGGTTCCGGTTAAACTCAAAAAGGGGCAGGTCCAATTTACGAAGTACTTAGAGCAGGCAGGGGAGATAAATGCATGCAGTTCTATATAATTCATTGTTGATTAAATTCTTTTGCAATGTCCTGAGAAAATGCCTCTTGCAAATAAAAGCAGTCTGATGTAAGTTTTCATTTGAGCAAATTTATTTTTAAACTTGGTGTATGGCTTGCGTTTTATTATATATCAAAAATGATTTTTTTTAATATAAATTTATTCATTTAACCCTTTTAAGATAAGGATTTTAAGATAATGAATCGCATTTTTGTAAAGGTATACATTTTGTTGAAAATCTCTTAATCAATTGATAGGTAGGTAAGTCATTAATTATCACGATAACTGACAGTTTGTCAATATACGTAGTCAAATCAATGATGATTTATCAACACCCGATGTCAACATAATGTTAACAGGATACACTTTCATGACAGATGATAAGGAGTTGTAAACAATATGTAACAGTAACATCTGTGATATACAGTAAAACCTTTGAATAATATACAGTATCACCTGTGAATGTGATATATACAGTAAACTTATGGTGATGACTTAGATTTTTTTTGTATCTATTATATACAGTCATGCAGAATTGACTGTAAAGTAATCTGTAATTGCTAACTTTGAAATTTATCAAAATGTCTTGTATTAATTTGATAATAATAAAAAATAATAGCATTTCCAAAAATACAAGGAAATCTGCTTATTCAGATATTTTTTCTTGAAATGATTTCCCTTCTCAATTCTATATATAGGTAACCTGACAAAAAATATTGCGAATGACATGACCTGTAGGTGTCCCTTTTGAGCTTTTTATAGTCCATTTTGTTTAATATCATATGGTAATGAATTCTTCACGGGCAGGCAATTCATTGGTATAAATGGTCAAATCTTGTAAATTGTATATGTTGATAGCCATCCGGTTAGCTCAATAGGTAGAGCATTGGACTGTGAATTGGGTGTCCTTGGGTTGATTCCCACACAGCGCAGCTCACTTTCGTTGTGATTGATCATGAAATCCTTTCTACGGTCATTCGAACTGTACCTCTGCTCTGGCATGTACAGATTAGTTTCTGAGTGTCTTGCGAAAGTGAAGGCAACTAATACTGGTAAACTGCTTGACACAATGCAGTGGTTGAACTGTGCTTTGGTGAATTCAATGTGGGTTACTGTCGTGATCCGAGTGAAAACTACCAACACCACCACCATTGTATATGTTGCCATCCAGGAACAGCAGCCATAAGAGTTTTGACCTGATTTATTTAGAACACAATAAGCTGTAGGTTTAGTAGATTGGTGAATTTAGATTGCTGGCTGTAAACAATTTCTTCTTTTTCTTCTTAGATCTCTCACCAGACTATCATAGAGCTGTACTGGCATATATTGTTTGATAGGCAAAATTATAGTCATTTGATTTCTTTACATACATGTTATATATATATATAACAGAATACTCTACTGCAGCGTATATTATCAAGGTTTTGTAACTCGAGCATAATTGGTTTTATTACAATTTCCTCTGAGTCTTGTTAAAAAATTTTGCAAGTCATCAGAACTCTGATAGATATATTTGCAATCTGGCTATGTTAGAAAACTGTATGAAAATTGAAAAACTGTGTAATTTTACATGAATATCATAGATTAATATGGCCCGGTTTTCAAGTAATTAATTTCCACTGGGACCGGAATCTTTAAATAATCATAGAATGAGCTGAATATCAAGGTAAAAACCAGAATGAAAGGAAAAAGTTATTACAGTAAAGAGAACAGGGTGTGTGGAATTTTTTTAAAAGATGACTGATATAAGGAAACATTTTTTAGAACTTCCCTAATTATCACATTAGCTGTTAAAAGTATTTTCAGGGTCTGTTTGAATAATTTATATTTTATAAAAATTGATAAAACAACTCCCTGAACTTCCTGTGTTAAGTGTATCTAATGTTACCATGTGAGCACAAAGAATACCTGTTAAGCAGACTTATAGACTAATCATGCAGTTTCGAGTTCTTGTATAAATATCATGGTAATGTTATGATCATTATACATCATTGTCAATTAAAGGCAGACAGTGCTTCAATATACTGTTAATTCTATTGATTTTCAATTTCCCTGAGATATTAATTCTTTAAGGAAAGCACTTTGATGAATTTTGTAGATTATTTTTTTTTATCAAAGTGAATTTCATGGAAGTTTGGTATCAAACTAGTACTTCATCATGTTGAGATGATTATTAAACTTGGCGTCTGATACAGGCTGAGTGGTTCAGGTAGTTGACTAAATATTTGCCGCCCTTACTGTTTTGGTTTTAAATTATGCAAAGAACTTTAGAAACTTCATATGAGGAAGCTATCCTGGTGAGGTAGCTTACAAAAGGTTTATGGTTCTACTCAGGTGCCTCAGATTGTGCCTGAAATAATGCACGGAGGGCCACCTCTTAGGTCTAATCCTCCACCAGTAAAACTAGAAAGATGCCATATGACCTCTTCTTTGTTAGTGTAATGTAAAACCAAAGAAAAATAAAAAAATACTAATTAAATGTTGTTATAATTCAGTAGTTTCCTATATATCTTCAAAGGGAGGTAAATTTATGAAAGGACTGTCAGTGTTGCCCTTGTTTTCATTTAATGTTTTGAGTCTTGAATATTTAGATATTAAATCATATTGTTAACCCAAATATTGTTGTGCATTTTTGTTATGCATTTAATTTGCCTAGTTTAATTTTCAAAGTTTAAAGGGACTCCACTGAGGTTTTTTACATGACAGGACTTGAGATTTATGTTTGGTTTGATGCAGGCATAGCTTGTGTGCAAAATTTCACACCATTCACTCGCTCCGTTTTTCCAGAGTAATTTTTCTAACTGTGAAAAATGCCCAACATGGTTACTACTTTTTTGTTTGTTTATTAATTATATTTTGTGTAATGTACCGTTCAAACATTACTATAGGGACAATTGAAATATTGTTGTTCCAAATGGAAGTTCAAGTAAATTATATAAAGAAATATAAAATCTATAATGTTTTTAATCAATTTACCATGGTTTGAACTGTTATTACAATTATCTTTAGGCAGGAAGTACCAGACACATATAGTTTATATAATTCTCATCAACTTGTATAAAATAGCTACAAAAACTTGGCATGCATTTCTGACTGCAAACACCATGCATGTGCAACATGTATTACATTTTATCCAGTTAGATTGCTTTAGATTTGAAACTTAGCCATATATTATGTATATTATATAAGCCATATACCAGACTTAAATATTGATTAACAATGTGTATAACAACTTCCTTAGGTCATAAAACCATCCTGCTGAGACCAAACCCTAAATTCTGATAATTATTAATATTGGTGAGATACATTTTGCAAAATAATATTGGTGAGATACATTTTTCAAAATATGTTTTTGTATAAAGACTATCACTGTGAGTTTTTTAAGCTCAACTAGTCAAAGAACTATTCACAGAGCTATTGCACTCATCCAGGTGTCGGTGTCATTCTCATACTAAATTGGTTAAGTTTTTGTGTGCAAGTTGGTATCTCCAAAACTACTGAAGAGAAAGAATTGAAACTTAAGTTGAAACACACTTATCTGAGAGCATAATAGGGGATCACTATTTTGAAGGCCCATAACTCTTATCACAAATTTTAGCAGAATCATCATCATCAGGCCCTTTTTGAACCTAGAAAATCTACATTACCCGGGCTCTTGTCTTTGAGTATGAAGCATTGAGATAAGTTGAGCATAGTGTCCTACAGACAGCTCAGTCAATGTTAAAGTAGACACAAACATTTTGTACTATTAAAGAGATGGGTTAAACATAAATTTGAAATTAGTTAAGTCAACTGAGAACAAAATATCTTAGCGGCATTAGCTATTTAAATTCCCATTAGTAAAATGGAATTGCAAAAGTTTAAATATTTTATTAAATATTCAAATAAGCAATTATGTTTTTACATTTCAATGAATATATCGCATGTAATTGATTTTCTGACTTATAATTTCCTTGCTGGAATTAGATGATTGGGTTTAATGAAAAATAGATTTGTATTAATTTGTTTTATTGAATTTCAGAATCTGCTGTTATATAACCTGAGATATTTAGATGAAAATTTAAGTCAAATCAAAATACATTGAATTGTTTCGTGCCAAAAAGAATTATACAGCCCTCCATAATCAATAAGCAACCTATTGTTGTAACTTAAAAATATTAAAACACAATTACTTGTATTTATATGCCCATGAGAAATGATTTGCTAATATAAGTATAGATCTAATACTTTGATCAAGTGAAGGTAAAAATTTTCAAACTTATTAAATTCGCCCCTTATTGTAAATCTCAGTTATTAATATTCATCAATGGCAATCCTTTTTCCACTGTTCTTGTTTGATTAAGATGCCTTAAGTTTTCAACACCAAAGGTAAGCCAAAATCATCTTTCCTGTTTGAGTGCCAGTATTACCTAATCTGTGTTGGTGTGCCTAAAAATAAAAAAAATGAAGATGCCAAGATCTTTGAATTTTGATTGGTCCATTGCTAATTTCAAGTTTTTTTTTATCTGACCATCCAAGACTCTGGGCTGTGCCATTATGTTTAATCTGTCTGACCAAGCTGACCAACTGTATTGATGTGATAGTGGTTCACATGATATTGGCCTACTGCAGGTAATTTGAATATACCAAAAGACGTAATTCAGACAAATAAGTTTCAATGTTTTCTTTTTTACAGATGGTGAACTGGAAGTTCTTAAGGAGACGAATGTGCTTGGAAAGATGGCAGCAGGGAGAGCATTTGGTGAACTGGCTATATTATATAACTGTACAAGAACTGCTTCTGTCAGAGGTAAACAAATCTAATTAAATGTAACTCAGACATTTTTCCAGGTCTGTCATACACAAATTTTGATCAGTTAAGACATTTAAGATAACAAAAGGCTTTGTATAAGAAAACTGGTCTCTAAAAATATTTGAATATTTGCTTTTGCATTTGATGTAATAAGGCAGTATGCTAGCAGTTTTTTTTATAGAAATGTTACAGATAAGGTTTCTGTAGAAATACAAATAATCTTTCTGTGAAATCTTTGCATATCATGGCAGGATTATGACATTTGTAGTGTAAAATTAGTAACAAGTCAATGAACCTTTTCAATACATGGTGGGGGTGATTTTAATGTCAGTTTGACATTTCCCTAATTTGTATTTAAGAAGATTTTCAGTATAATTATTGAGTGAGAATTTTTCAATGAACATCAAATTAATTAGATCAAGCAGTTTCAGTATAATGTGTCAAAGCTTATAATTTTAGTTTTCTTTTCCACTGCTACTACTGATAATATCATTGGAATTCCAACAGCATTGAAACCAACATTCCACTGGTATGATCCAAAGTTTACTTTCTATTTCCACTGGAATACAGTGGTATTCCGCAAGTATGCATATGTTTCATATTGCTACTGAAATGCAGTGGTATCACACTTTGTTAGTTTAACTGATTTCCACTGGAATCCACTAGTAGTCCGTGACCATGATTTTTTTGGTTTCCACTGGAATGCAATAATATTCATTTGCCATGGTTTTGCTGTTCCCACTGTGATATTCTAGAGCTATTGGTATTTTCCACTGGAATAGGGTGATATTCTACTGGTATTCCAATTACTTCAATATATTAGGATATGGCAGATTTATTCACTTTAGGTCTTAAGGAACTGAACTTATTATAATGATTTGTTTTCTTTCAATATAATTTACAAATTGCCCAGACTTCATATTATGAAAGTGTGATTTTTGAGAGCACTAGGATTATAGATAACACATATTCTCTGATTGCTTTTCACAATATGTGTTGTAGATGCAGTCACCATGTTACATTATACAAATGCATAACATTATTATTATTATAACAAAATCATCAGACTGGGAATGTACAAATGTCTGCATTTCTTAATCATAAAGGAACAACATAACTAATATAACTGAATGAACAACACAGTTTTCTGACTGCTGGTAATAATGAATAAAAAAAGAAGACCCTTCTAAATCAAAAGTAATTCAAATTTTGTACAGTTTTCTGTGTCCACAATAATGATTTCAAGTAGACAGTGTGACATTTTCTTATTAATATCCAAGGAAAACAATCGCTCAGAACAAAATAACTTTTCTTTTATGTCCTTTTATAATATCTATTAAGCTATCAAATTACTTAATAAACTGTGTCTGTTGCAAGATATCAGTTTCTTCTATAATTGCACAATAAAAGTGGGTGTATTATGATCTAATATACAATATATTGGAAGATGGATATCATATTAATGCCCTTAGTACAATATTTGAAATAGCTTCCTTGTATTCCATACACTATTTGAAATAGCTTCCTTGTATTCCATACAATATTTGAAATAGCTTCCTTGTATTCCATTTAACTGCATCAAAATGCTGAAATGAAACACGATATATTTCAAACAATAAAAGGTAAATTGAAATTATTGTGAATTAATTTCTATCTCATCGTACAGTTATAATTATTTCATCTTCTTGATTCTATTGAACACTGAATATTAGTATTTTCCTTTGGCAGATTTAAACACTTAAAATAAATCATGACCAAAGTAGGATTTGAAATTTGACCCACAAATTCTGATTTGAAAGGCAGACAACTTTAAAGCCACTTGGCATAACTGGTCCCTCAATTATTTATTTGACTGAAGTAAATTCTGAGACAATATTGTTGAAACAAGAATAAATAACTTGAGTAAACATTAAAGAATTTTGCATCCTGTGGACTGTACTTCTTCCCAATCAGCATAATGCTTTAACCCTTCCACTGCTGTGACCAAAGGGGATTTGCCTTTGCCACCATTATGGAGTCAGGCGAGGCTGCACAGAGAGTTTCCGTCTGACCTGTTAGGCTCCTAACTGTTAACGTACCAACCTCAAATTTTCATCTTATGTTATCCCCAAAAATGATAACAGATAGTTTCAAAAGGAAGCTGGATTCCATTAAAAATGTTCTTAAGGTTAAAGGTTAAGAAGAAGTATACCCTAGAGGGCCTTCAAAACTATTTCTAAACCAAGCACTGCATAGACTGAAACTGTAATTGAAGGCTGGCTTTCTTCCATTATGTTTGTATGCATTAATTTAGGTTCAGACTTGATGGAAGTCCAAATTATATTGACAGGCTGAGGGTACTCATAAATTTAAGTCTTGCGCAATCTTTAAATGGGATAATATACAGAATTAATTTGAATTCTTTTATTAAATACTAATATTGTATGATAGGACGGTCTCTATATGAAATCTGTTTATCTCATCATGAAAATCATATCAATACATTCAAATACAAAGGTAAAGAAAGGCACAAAGTTATTGGTGTAATTTTAATGTTTTATAATACAATGATAATGATATAATATTTATCTTCTTCTCGTAGCGGTCACTGATGTTAAAGTATGGGTGCTGGATCGGAGGATTTTCCAGGCCATCATGATGAAGACTGGTCTGCAAAGACAAGAAGAAAATGTCAACTTTCTCAAAAGGTATGCTTTATATGTGAAAAGAGAGATTCTTACTAATAAATTATTAATTTTTATTCATATAATTGATTCAAAATGGATTACAAATTACTTTAATGTTAATCATTTCCTATCCCTGTTTATAGACATTTTCTGTCATTTGTTAATTTTTAGCTCACCTGTCACAAAGTGACAGGGTGAGCTTTTGTGATCGCTTTTCGTCCGGCGTCCGTCCGTCGTCCGTCCGTCCGTCCGTCCGTAAACTTTTACTTTAAATGACATCTCCTCATAAACCACTAAGCCAATTTCATCCAAACTTCACAGGAATGTTCCTTTGGTAGTCACCTTTAAAAATTGTTCAAAGAATTTAATTCCATGCAGAACTCTGGTTGCCATGGCAACCGAAAGAAAAAACTTTAAATATCTTCTTTTAAAAAACCATAAGAGCTAGAGCTTAGATATTTGGCATGAAACATCATCTAGTGAGTGTCTACCAAGTTTGTTCAAATAAAAGCCCTGGGGTCAAAATTGGCCCTGCCCCGGGGGGTCATTGATTTTCCCTATATACATATAGTAAAAACTTAAAAAATCTTCTTTAAAAGAACCAAAAGAGCTACAGCTAAGATATTTAGCATGAAACATGTTCTAATGGGTGTCTACCAAGTTTGTTCAAATAAAAGCCCTGGGGTCAAAATTGGCCCCACCCCGGGGGGTCATTGATTTTCCCTATATGCATATAGTAAAAACTTAAAAAATCTTTATTTAAAGAACTCAAAGAGCTATGGCTAAGATATTTAGCATCAAACATGTTCTAATAGGTGTCTACCAAGTTTGTTCAAATAAAAGCCCTGGGGTCAAAATTGGCCCCGCCCCAGGGGGTCATTGATTTTCCCTATATGCATATAGTAAAAACTTAAAAAATCTTCTTTTAAAGAACCAAAAGAGTTAAAGCTAAGATATTTAGCATGAAACATGTTCTAATAAGTGTCTACCAAGTTTGTTCAAATAAAAGACCTGGGGTCAAAATTGGCCCCGCCCCGGGGGTCATTGATTTTCTTTATATGTGTATAGCAAAAACTTAAAAATCTTCTTTGAGAAAACCCAAATAGCTAGAGTTTAGATATTAAGCATGAAACATCTTCTAGTAAGTGTCTACAAAGTTTGTTCAAATAAAAGCCCTGGGGTCAAAACTGGCCCGGCCCCAGGGGTGTCATTGTTTTTAACTATATGTGTATAGTAAAAACTTAAAAAAAATCTTCTTTCAATAAAGCCCAATGAGCTAGAGCTTAGATGTTTAGCATGAAACATCTTCTTATGGGTGTCTACCGAGTTTGTGCAAATAAAAGCCCTTGGGTTAAATTGGCCCTGCAATGTTGGGGGGGGGGGGGGTTGGGGGGCCTATATACAGGTGAGCGACCTCAGGGCCATCATGGCCCTCTTGTTGTAAGTTGCTGAGAAAAATCTATTACCAATTGTTTATAAATTTGCTTGAATTTTTCATGTTGTCTAGGATACATACTCCATTTAAATTACTATTTTAAATTAGTTTTGTCTCTCTCAAACTGATTAAGAATAGGTTTTTAGCTCAACTGAGCATAAAATGCTCAAAGGTGACCTTTTGTGATGGCAGTTTGTCTGTTTGCCGCATTTGATCATTATCCACAATTTCTTCAAACAACATATTAAGAAAGTTTTAATGTTTTATGTAAAGGAGGGAAAATGTGTGATTATTTGAGCCGTGTCACGACAAAACCAACATAATGGGTTTGCGACCAGCATGAAGCCAGGTCAGCCTGAGCATCCGCGCAGTCTGATCAGGATCCATGCTGTTCGCTATCAGTTTCTCTACTTGTTATAGAGTTTGTAAGCGAACAGCATGGATACTGATCAGACTGCGCGGATGCGCAGGCTGGTCTTGATCCATGCTGGTCGCAAACGCATTATTTTGGTTTTGTCATGACGCGGCTCATTTGTCTTGAAACATCTGCAGACTCTCTAGGGCTGAGTTGGACACAATATCCTTTAAAATGAAGCAGACAGATGAAAATTGAAACATATTACCTCCATGTGTCTGCATGCCTGTTGATACTAAAAGCATGAAATAGATTTAACATGACATTGTGTTCCTTAAATTTTAAAACATCCTTAACTTATCTGAAAAAAAACAACAAAAAACAAACAAACAAATTTACATTTTAGGTCTAATTGTCAACCAAACTTAATCAGAGCTCTATGTAATTGTTACCTCAAACATAATTTCTGCTTCTTAATTGTTCTTCATCATCTTAAAAATTAAAATGGTTAGCTCCAGAACAAAAACCACTTAAAAGTTTTTGCAATAAAAAGTAAACCTGTTAATAAGATACAACCTTTCCTTAATAGTAAAATGATAGTTTACATGCATGTTAGCCATACACTGCTTTCTCTTACAACCAATGAAAACAAAGGCTTATTCTTGTAAAGTCCAAAAACAAAATGGATCAAAATTGCTGTTTTTTTATGTTGTCACATAAGAGCCAGTGTCGTAACATGATTATTCTCTCCTGTAAAGATTGTTGTCGGCATCAGCCCTAGAGTATTCACTTATCTTAATTACTTTTTCTTCCACAGTATTTATCTTCTGTAATTGAAATCTTCTGTATTGACATGTGTCACACAATCATTTGTGTTTTTTTTATTCTGATAGGGACTGATACAGAGAAATATTGTGTTTTTATAAAAATGTTAGAGCTTGTTACAGATATTTTTCAAAGTTTTACGAGTTACAAGTTTAACCCTTTCCCCCATGAGCATATCGTGAAAAATGGCCATTTTAACTGAAAAGCCTCCTCTTACAAGTTCAAACTGCTATGAAACTATGAAAAATGCTTCAATACTAATCAAACTTGGCACAAATGTTGACTGCACCATTGCCTTTGTAACGACATGCTCAGTCTTAAATTTCCTGTTACCATGGCAACGAGGGGACATCTCAAAATTGCCAAAAATCACTATTTTGCCTCGATTTTTTCCATCAAAATTTATTTCAAAGTGCTGCAACTTCTCAATGGATTGAGATAGAGTCAAAGGCTTTTCAGCGTTGGTTACACGTTACTTTATGATCAACCTGGGGTCATTTTAAGCCTCTCACAAGTCCAAAATTTTCTTGGCGATGAGGGGGACTCCGCCCCCCTTCAAACCCCCCAAACAGAAGGGGGCACATCCCCCTTCTGGCAACCCCCTGATGTATTATTTGGATGGGGGACAGCGCCGAAAAAATGGTCACTTTTTTTAACAACATTTCTCAAACGAAAAACAGTGTTTGGGGTCTAAATAGGACATTTTATCACTGTTTGAGGCCTCAAAAGGGGGGGGGGGCAAAAAGCCGACGAAACACGCTTCTATAAGGGAAAAGATTAAATAATATTATGATACGTTATACTATACATGAAGTCATAGAATTGGGATGAGGTGGCCTATTGGTTGAGGGTGTCTGTCTTCCAAACAGAAGATTGTTGGTTCTAGCTCTGTTTTTGCAAATTTAATTACACAAAACAAATCATGACAGATGTGACAAAACAGCATTTTTCAGTACAATATGATATTTCATTAAAGAATTTTCTACAAATTCAAAGTAAACATATTCCAAGAGAGAACAATCATGAAAGGTACTCAACTGTGATGTGGTGGGAGTCTGAAAATATTTTTGGTACATTTGATGCAATCAAGACCAGTAACTTGTGTACAAAATTTTAGATAATTCACTCAATTTGTTTTGATATAATAATCATTTCAGCTGTGGAAAATCGCCAAAGAGAAAGGAAAGCTTTTAAATGCTTTTAAACTCAAGGTGGGCTAGAAAGAGCACCAAAAAAAATAAATCAATTTTTCAATTCAATTTAGAGTATACTTCTTTATTTATTAATCCATCGCATATTTTACAGTTGTTCTATGAAATGATTTTAAATTCTGTCTTTTTAATTAGCTTTTGGACGTCAAGTGGAGTTCCTTTAATGGTACTAAATAATGATGTATTAGGTCTATAAGATAGAAAAAAAATTGCAAAACACAGCTATTGAATGTGTTTTGTGTATACAGTGAATATAAAATTTCAGGACAATGTTTCAATAGTTAAAAAAACACAATAATTATTTTAATAGTTGAAATACTTTACATATATTAAACAAGGAACAATTTCTGTTGCCATTTAAAATAGTTGCAGAATAAATTGTACCACTTGTATAAAAAATCGATGTTTAATTCAGTATTTTCCAGTTAATATAGAGTTTTCAATTACCTTATGTTCAAAAATTAAAAGCTGAAGGCAATTTAAAGTGTAGTGGTTTGATTGTTAAATCAAAGCTCAGCATTTTGTTAAATTTATAATATTCTTGGCATTTAAATAACAGTTTACCCTTTAGTCAAAAGAGAATTGTTTAAAGAATAATATCAAAATTGTAGAGCTCAAGGCAAACTTTGACATTTTATCACTTGAAGAAAGCTATTAGAAATGTCAAGTGCTTTGATAAACACTTCTAGAACGATTTGCATTAAGAAGAGTTTTTCTTTTCAAAGTATAAAGTGATAATCGTTTTCATTTCCAATCTTTTCAAAATGTTTCCGAAGAAATGTCACAGCATTTTTGCAAATAAAGGCGACTGAAAATAAAAAGGAAGCAAAATAAATTGAACATGTAAATTGAAGAAAAATATAATTTTCATGTTGACAATTGCTGGTCCTTTAATATGTAATTGGCGTAAATATCTGCAGTGCAATTTGACCCAGTAATCAATCATTAATTGACATTTTCAAGAGATTTGGATGAAAAAGCAATAAATGCTCTCAAATACCAACAAAAAATAAAAATATTCAAGAGAAATTTTGCACCAAATTGAAGATATTAGGATGATTCAATAATGTTCATTTTTTTTTTGTCTTGAAATATGTGACAGGAACATTGTTGCATTGGAATGATAAAGGATCAATAAATTCAAATTGAAATTTCTAAAAATGACATTCCTGCTGAATTTTCAACAAGAAGATAATGGAAACTATGGCACTTTTATTTTCTCCTATAAAATTGGAATTAATTTTGTTCAATGGAATAGGACTTGACTGCATAATCATGACTCTTGAATAAAGATACTGTCAAACACATTAAATGCAATGTTGATTGAGCTGCTTTAAGAATAGGATAATGGCACTATAATAGTTTCTATAGTTGTATAATTTAGGAAAAGTACATTATTGGTACAAAAAGGACAACTTCTGATTGTGATCATTGAACTAATCAATGAGTGACTAATGATGAATTTAATAATTATAACATTTAATTAAAAATTGTAAAATTCTTTTTTTCTCTTTTTTAAATTACCAGTCATATTAAAAAAAGTTTAAAATTTAGAATAATTTAAGGCCTTTGGTATCAAAATTCGATATTCATTTTTCTCAGTAATCTTCAAATTTATTTTTTTAAGGATATTTCTATAGCATAATCATACTCTTATACATAGTTTAAAATGACACTGTATCATTTGATTAATTTAAAATTCTTGTCAAGGATAGATATGATCTTACATGAGTTGCCATATAAAATATAATATAAATATTTTATTATGTTAATGAGTAATTGAGATCTTTTTATAACATGACTAAATAAAATAAATGAAAAACTTGTTTTGTCAATTTACGCTTGTTTTTTTAATGTCATTTTTCTGCAAAATGTAGAGTCAAAAAAAATTAATGTCTTTGCAATGTTATATTACTCATGCATGTATAATGTAAAAAAAAAATTGCGTAATTATGGTTATAATTTACATGGAATACATTAGCAATATTATTATGTGATAAAATGCTATTATGTGTTTACAAGCTTTGTATATATAAAATTATGATGTTTATGCTTTGAATTTTTTCTCATGAGGTTAAAGTTGCTGATATATCATCTTACTTAGCTAGATATTAATGTAAGTAAAATTTTTATGATAGAAAATTGAGAGGTGTAATATTAGTATTTTAACATCATTAAGAACTTTCCTGAAGTCACAAAAATATAATACACATCAACTTTATTAATAAGGATTCATTGCAACAGGGTAGAAAAATGGAAATAAAAGTCACCATTAGCTGTGTCCTTTAATTTGACCTGGCATGTCCTTATTAAGTACTCTTACGCTGGCAATGAAGCCACCAATCCAAGGAGCCCCAACAATGTCCAGAACAACCTGTCAGTCTAAGCACAGTCTAAGTTCATGTATAATATAATGCTGGGGGCTTTTTATTATTAGTACATTGCATCGATTTTGATAATGCACTTTCTTGAACTTATACAAGACAGAGCAAAGTCATTTTGTAAGTTTAAAGGGTCAGCGATAAAACAATATAGCTAAAGCTTGTAATGGTGTACCAGATTTAGCTAATCGATCTATTTGATTGACAGTTTACTTAGATAGATAATTGCTTAAATTACAGCTGTGAAATAAGCCTATATCTGAATATAGCCAACAATTTATATATGAGCCGTGTCACGACAAAACCAACATAATAGGTTTGCGACCAGCTTACAAACCCTATAACAAGTAGAGAAACTGATAGCGAACAGCATGGATCCTGATCAGACTGCGTGGATGCGCAGGCTGGTCTGGATCCATGCTGGTCGCAAACCCATTATGTTGGTTTTGTCGTGACACGGCTCATATGTTATCTCAGAGTTTCTGGAGGCATCTAGTGATGAATGGACCTGTCATATTTTCTTTTACTATTAAGTATTGATTCCTATGTTAATACTTCCATTACCGATAGCGGATGTGACACAGTTAGAGTAGAGCTGAGAAAATATCATCTCTTAAATACCTTTACTTAAGCCTTATACAAGTAACATATGACTTGCTAAGATATCTAGAAACATTTTAAAACTCGCTTCCTGTGCTGGCCAAATTGAATTTAACTAATCAGTCTTACCCATGTGACTTTAAATCTAGGACCCATATAATTATGAGTGTTTAAATACTTGACATGTTAAAGAACCAGGAGAAGCTTCTGGAATTGGGGCATATTTCTGTATCTGTATCTTGCACTATCCTCCAAAAATCTAAAATGTTTAACACTCTTTTAGAGAACTGGCCCATATAAGGCAACCTGTGGCAAGTATAATTAAATACACACACACTTAAGTACTCAGAAAATCAACAATCTCTCTGTTGAAACCTTATTTGTTTTCTTCTTAAAATATGAGCAACTTTATGATTATCACAGTAGTACCATTATTCTCTTGAGATAGAATCAAGTGAGCAACAGAAAATATTGTAGAAATTTGATATTGAGCGAGAGAAAAAAAAAACTGTAAGAAATGTAATTTTCTGGGTTTAAGGAATTACTCTTTATGGTGACAGCTAGGCATGCATTATTTAACAGGCAATCGGAGCATACTGTCTTAAGTGAAAATAACTAACTCTGGCATTTAACAGTTTCAAATCCCTACTCTCTCAGACATTGATTTCACATTTTATTTCCTTGGGTTATATCATAGTAAGCTCTGTTACAGGCACTATATATAGGCACTATATAATTATGTAATAGTAAGAGCATTGGAACGTAAGGCTGATTTGTATGAGGGGGCATATGCTTGCCAGTGTTCTCCCTCCTGAAGAGTATGTACCCAAAATTGTCCATACAATACTATATAAATGCCTGAGTTACTATCAACTTCAACATAACTTAGTCATGGTTCATTTTGTAACTTTGAAATGTCACTGTTGCAATCTGAAGTGCATATGCATAGATACTATGCATATTTTAGTACTATGCATATTTTAGTATCTGATAATATTATTGACATAGTTTGAATAACCAGGGCGTATTTATTGCATAAGATAAATAGATGCAAAGTTTTTTGAAATATTAACAAAGTAAAGATGTTAAACACTTGTATTGTTACAATAGTACAATAATGAAAATTGCAAGAGTCAATGACAAAACCCAATTTGTGACACAAATTATCTTCCCTAAATATAACAATTACTATCATCTCGAATATTAAATTTCAGAATCAATATTGTATTTATATAGCTTTTTGAGATTTTAATCTTTAAATTGTAGGTGAACCTTAGTTCCTATAATACCGTAGTTAATGTATTTCAATTGAACTTGCTAATATATTAAACCTACCAATAATTAAGGTATCATAATTGAACCTGCCTATAATTAACGAATCATAATTTAACTTATCTTGCTTCGTAATTGTTATCATTTTTCTTTTGATTATGTTTTGGTTTTAAAGAACACTTTTTATAACAGTAAACATGGCCAGACGTTCTCAGAATAGATTACATTGTTTGCATTATCTGAGCCTTTGATTTTATATTGATACTTCTTTACTTCAAATTAATGAATAAAGCAACAACGTTTGACACTATGTAAGATCTATAATTATGTGGAAAAAAAGAGTCATCATCATCATAATAATTAGATATAGTCACAAGTTAATTAAGCTCATGAAAGTTATAGGTTGTTGACGTTGAAGCTTAAATTACTGACTTTCCTGTTAATGAAAGGTATTACTGAACTTTGGCTCACTGCAGAAGATATAAGGTTTCTAGCTCACCTGAGCTAGCTCAGAACTATTTAGATGCTTTCTAGCTGAAGTTGGAATATGGTCATCTGGGGTCCAAAACTAGGTCACGCAGCCCACTTATGAAAAAATTTAACCTTGTTTACATTCAAGATGTAATATTTTGAGCCGAAATATTCTGAATATTAAAATTTTGTCAGAAAGGTTGTTTTGATGATTTCTTGTGGGTCGTCTGGGGTCCAAAACTAGGTGACAGCATATCAAAAGGCATATATGTGAAAACCTTACTTACATTTGCACTATTTCAGGTGCAGATATAAATGTTATGATATCAGTTTAAGTTTATGACATATATCTGCTTTTCATTCATTGCTAAAAATATTAATTCAGAGCATTTAGATAATTAGGTGAGCGATATAAGGGCCATCAAGGCCCTCTTGTTTTATGTATCAAGATACTATCATGACATGGTATTTAGTAACATTTTTTTTATCTTAACCAAGCCTCAGTGCACTTGAACATGAACTTTTCATGAATTTAATCAAGGAATTTGTACAGTTTCGCTTATGGTCTAGCTAATGGTTGTAACTAAGGAATTCATTGCTTGGTTTTCAGATTGAAAATAACTCTTAGAAATGCATTGTAAACCAAAACCGAATAATATTCATCCTTGTTTTATATTATGATAATTATGTAGACATGCAACTTTCATGTTTGTAATGATGTAGAGTCCAAGAGACCTTGTAAAATGCTTTTGTCACTTGTTCCTGTAAAATTATTATAAAGAGTAGTAAAATTATTCAATAGAAATATGTTGAATAATCTAACAAAATAGCATTAATGATAATCAGATTATTAGAACCCCTAAAAAAGAAATCAATCCAAGAATTTTGTGGCATGATATTTTTGTGACAATTCAGAATTTTGAAGATGAAAGTGAAGTACCTTTATGCCACTTCCTGATAAATGTTTATATTATTTTAGAAGCCAAAATGCTTATGATTTGAAACAGGTGCATAATGGAATTTCAAAGTAAAAGCTTCTATTTGGCTTCAAGTCTTTTAAACCATTCATGTAATTCACACTCTGGAGAATAAATTCACTTAGGCCTTAGATAAGTGTTGGAGTATATTCCATTTTAACTCAACGGCATAAAGAAACATGTCACAGACCCATTTTGTAATGGCCATTCAATACAAGTACACATTTACATGTATTTGTTTTATATTAATATAAGATCGAATTATGAAACAGATTTAAAGTTTATCAGGTGATAATTTTTTGTAATTTTGTTACACTGTTGTTGTTTTCAGTGTGCCTTTACTGCGAAGTTTACCAGCAGAGAAATTATCCAAGCTGGCTGATGTTCTTGAAGTGGTGAGTAATTATAAATAGATATTGGATCTGTAAATGACAGGTTTCCTTTATAGTCTTAGGCAATTTCTTTTTGGTAACAAGTAAATGAAGTTCTTATTTAAGAATAATGTGAAAAACTAGGATATTTAACAAGTAAATAGAGGATATTGAATGAGTGTAGGCTTAATACTGATTTAATGTCAGTGTAGGCTTAATATTGAATTTATTGAAGAAGTTGAATAAAAATATATTATGCAAGCCTCTAGTGAGTAAAAAAAAAATAATTTAAGCGAGTAAAGTATTATTTTATTCAACAAATTCAGTAATGAACCTTAGTAACATAAGTATAATATTCTATTTATCACATGCCCAAAATAAAGACTGTTTAAAGTGCAAAAGAATCATTTTTTATTGACATGCCTCTAGTGTAATGATAACATTTAAGCACATCTTTACACTTTGTTTGTATAACACAAAATATAAATTATGCATTTATTCGCAACCGATTCTACCAGAATACAGCCATTGGAGACCAAGATTGGCTGGCACATCTATGCCATCTGATCAATCAATCCGTGCTGTTTGCTCTCCATCCAGTACATATTTTGAAATTTTCCCTAAAAATGATGAATGTTTTAGTCCAGAGTGACTGGAGATAATGACAAGTCTATTAAGATATTAAGCATGGCAAGGGGAAGATACACCATTTATTTGAGTTCAGATTTACTAGGTTACTTTCCACAGGTCCCAAAATCAATAATTTCATTATTTTTCCAGATCAACTGCTGAAGCTTATAAATGCGAAACATGTTTTGATAAACGAGCCGCGTCACGACAAAACCAACATAGTGCGTTTGCGACCAGCATGGATCCAAACCAGCCTGCGCATCCATGCAGTCTGATCAGGATCCATGTTGTTCGCTTACAAAAACTATAACAAGTAGAAAAACTGATAGCGAATAGCATGGATCCTGATCAGACTGTGCGGATGCGCAGGCTGGTCTGGATCCATGCTGGTCGCAAACCCATTATGTTGGTTTTGTCGTGACACGGCTCAAATTGTGTTGGTCTTGATTTATTTATCCTATTATTTTTCCAGAGAAAATTCAACACATTTGTGTTTCTTATAATCACTTTATAATTTATCATATTTGAATTTAGATAGCTTTTAAAATTTACCCCATGGGATAAGCTTTTACAATTCACTCCATGGGAATAGGTTTAGTATGAGTAAGATTGATTGAGGAATTATTCTTCTACAATATTGATGAGATGGGAAATATATGTTGTTATTATAAAAAAGCTTGTTAAAATTTATCAAAAGCCATTTGTTGAAACCTTGAACAGCAGCCAGATATTGCAGTCAAGATTTTAATAAGCAAATGACATACAAATGTATCTGGGGTATAAAATTTTGGTATATCATTAGGACAAAATTACCTTTTTCTAGTCAACCAAATGTTTATTTATCGAAATGTGACAGAGATATATATTTGAGTGATTGTAATGTGTGTATTGTTTCAGTTAATTATTTTTTGAATAAATGGGAAACTTTTTTAAAGAACAGCAAAGAAACCATGATGCTCTATTGGTTTTAAATGTCACTCAAAAAGATGCCCTGTTTGTGATCTTTTTTGACAATTTTAATGAAAAATTTAGTAATTATTTTAAGTAAATGTAATAGTTGAGAGTCACTGGTATGGGTCTTAGTTCATAGCCTATCTAAGGTTGATTGCAACCATTTTTGAGGGGTGGGGATAGGGGGCAAAAATACTGATATCTAAATAATAGTGTACTGAGTAAGAAATGCAGCATAATTATTATTGGTCTTCATCTGTTAATTAAAGACTATGATACATAAATATTACTTTAAAATAGCTCTATAAATATAAAATTTATGTTATTTGTAATCAGTCTTTTATCATACATTTAGCACATTACAAAAAACACTGTAGAAAACAAAACAAAATCCTTTGTCAAGAATTATAATTGATTTTCACTCCATAGAGACAAATTTTAAGGGAAACATTATAAATTTGGATGAAGTGAAATCAATAGAACTTAATAAAAAGAAAACATGAAAAACATGATTCACCCTTCAACAAATTAAAAAAAATATGCATTAAGTTTTAACTACCAATTTAAACAACCCAAGAGATATTTAGCATTGCCTTTTGAGCATTTTTTTCTAAAACGATAATCAAATAATCCATTACCGGTAGCTCGCTTCCTCTCTTATTTCTGTCAGAGCAGTACAAGAAAATGTTCCTTTATTCAATTACAGGGCATTGTTGTGTTGTTAGTGTCCACAAAGACAGTCATAAAATTGTCATTTTGTGTAGTTTCCGCAAAAATCTCTTTGGATAATTCTTCGGATAATTGAATAGCTCAGAGAAAATCATAGATTTGGGAACAAACAAAGGTTTAATACAATACATTATATTCCCTATTTTCACTCCTCAAAGAGAAATGCTGTGTTAATGTTAGCAAATCTGCAATAAGTTTATTGAATTTGCCCTATCCCTAATCATATAAGTCAAAACATGCATTAAGAAAATATGTATTTCTTTAGCAAAAACATGGACATTGATACCTTAATTCCCAATGTAATTTGCCTTTTTTGCTGCCAAGAAACACAAATGTGCAATTGAGCTATGTCTTTTTGGTTGTTTTTTTAATGTATAGTCGGAATACTTCTAGAATTACCAGCCAAATCCATGTTATTCCAATATGCATTAGTGCTATCTCAGAATGTTCTATACAATTTTATCTATTAGGCTTACTCTCACTCTATAAGGGCATGTAAAACATTAGAGATAAGTGTAAATGGCCCTCTGTCTGAGTGTAATATTTACATTGAGGCTGATGTCTACCAAGTGTCTTAGATTTCTTATTTTCTAAGAGAAAGATATCTCCCAGTAATTGTTTTGCATATATTTTCAGGACTTTTTCCACGAAGGAGAATATATCATTCGAGAAGGGGCTACAGGGGACACATTTTTTATTATCAACAAAGGAGAGGTAAGGACATGTTGCTAAACCAGGCTTTAGTGTAGAACACATTGGACAAAAATAAAGTATCTCCAGCGCTTCCTTCAATTGCCAGGATGAAAAATTATGCAACATCCTCAAATTTGTTCGAAATTATATTCTTCCAATTAAATGGAACAGACTTACGGCACCTTTTAAAGGAATATTCCAGACACCTTGTATAGTTGTCTGGCTTATTTACATATCTCTTAGTAAGCATTAAACTGCTTGTTAAGTGATGAATTAGTCTATTTTTCACTAGAAAATTTCCATTTTAATGGCCGCTTATTTGTCAAGAATGCTTGTTAAAATGACCTTGTCTGAAATTTGAATGACATTACTACTATTATTCTTGTAAATGATGCATACAGTTAAAATCGACTTTCATTATTTTTTTCCACCTGCTTCAGAAAGTTTCTGTGTACATTTAAGGCAAATCTGAGGGTCTGCCATTTAACTGTCTGTCTGACAAAAATATATGCAGGCTTCTTTTTGAATGAAATGATTAACATTGTGAGAGTGAGATAAAATAAGGATTGGAGCACCACACTAAATACCATATTCCGGTATATACTGGACAAGGTGCTTGAATGATAAAATGCGTAAATCTTGCCTTTTTACCCGCCAAAATGAACTTTTGGAGGTCTTATTCATCTTTTCACACCAATTTATGTATGATAATGATTGAAAAAAATATTAATTGGCAAAAAAAAACAATATTTGACTATTTTATGATCATGATTTCTGCAAGCGCCTAGAGGTACAGCTTCAGTCCTGTATTGAGTAATATATTAATCCAATTTTGTATGTCAATAGAAACTGTAACAGCATTTGATCCAGCAGGATGGAATTTAAAAAAGCTCATTTCCACTGATAATATTCCTTGCTCCATGGCTTGGATTGTTTTAATGATTTCACATAATTATACAGTTGCTAAATCTAATTGCTTTTGTTTAACTCATTTGAATCCTTTTAACTTCAGTTTTTAATAGTTTTACATTGTGAATATTGTCAAGGTTGTGTCATGGGTGATTTTCTTAATCTTACAGGTGAAGGTCACTCAAACGATAGCTGGTTTTGATGCTCCACAGGAAGTTAGAAAACTCAAAAGGGGAGACTACTTTGGAGAAAAATCATTGCTCAGGTTAGTCAAGAGTTACCTAACATAATGAATAAGTACAATGTGGATGCTCATTGTTGTGCATAGCAGTTTTTGCTCCTTTAGATTTGTCCTAAGATTTAACAATTTAGTTTGGGTTTATTCAAAGTTGAAATAGTTATTTCAGTTCCTATATGACTTATGATGTCTTTTCATTAAATTCAGATACTTAACAATTTTTTGTTACAATTTTATTTAAAGCAAGGAACATAGGAGGTAGTGTTGTAAAAAGGATGCTTTAAATTTTAGTCAATATACTATTTTCCTATATAAATCCCTATACTAAGTAAAATTGTAGATGTGTCAAGGAAGATATCTGTATGATTGAATCACAGACACTTGGGGTGTGGAGCTCAAAACGCCTTTAAAATCCAAATAAAATGCATATTTGTCAATCCCAGCACATGAACTGATCATATATACATGTATCAAAAAAACTTAATATAAGCCGTTTTGAAAAAATTTCATATTTCAACATCTATAATAATACACAAGATAAAAATGTTCGCTGGAGAAAATTTGTATGGAGGGCTTTCGTTGCCAAAATTCCAGACATGTAAAGTGTTCCTTTTGAAAACTACTTTTGAAAATGCAAACGTGCATGTCTAGCATTTTTTATTGTATTCGTGCACAGCAAATAATATGCCTCTTAATCCAATCTTTTAATTGAAGGCACCCGCTTTTAAATAACAAGTTAACATGTAGGTATTAACAACTGACTAAACATGAAAAACAGCAATAAATATACAAGTTCGTATCTTCCATTGCATATAATACATAAGCATATTAGCACACTTATCATGCTTACAGATATCCAACTGTATCTGAGATATATAAATGAAATGTAAAACTCGAATACAGAAAATAGAGTTTAAGAAAACGTGTTTCCAGTTGTAGAACTGCAACAGTACGTTTACACAGTAACATGTTTAAAATTTCAAAAGTAGATTTACAAACTTAAACGATTTTAAGTCATGCATGACGCTCAGCCCCTCTCTGAGTATTTACAAACTTCTATTGCGGACAGGTATAAAACGGCGTCTCTCCCCTATTTCTAAATAAAACTGAAGGAAAACATGCCGCATCAAGATTATCGCTGTTCTACTCCATTTACAAAATCTTTCGATATATTCAAACGTGGCCCCAGCTTTGCCGTGTGCAAATACGCATGTTGCATCTTCATTCTTTAAGCTTAAAAACAATTAGTTTACATGCAAAATACTCTGACCAGGATCTTTATTCTGACATATTTAATTATTTTTAGCTTTATCCCTAAATGACCTTGAGCTTAAAGGTATTTTTTTTGAAATTCGGGAAATTTCTCTGTAATTGTCAATATATTTTGAATAAGACATTTTGCCTATATTTTTAATGAATCTATTGATGTTGATATTCATATATTTATATATAAGTACTATTCACAAGATAAAATGCATTTTTTTATTGTTTGATGGTTAACCTTGAAAAATTTTGTTTTGCTAATGTTCATTTCTCTTAAAAAACTTTTTCTTCTTTCATTTTTTTTTTTTGGAAGGGGGAGGGGTCTTATGTGTAATCCGCTTACCATGTTTGATTTTTGCAAATCCGGATTAGAAAAGATATGATTTTTACAGTGGAGACAACTTCCATAAAAAACTTTAATCTGAAATCTTCAGGGAGTAATAAACTGTAGCAGGAAGGCATTTTGTAGAATCAGAAATATCTTAACATGTGAATAATTCACAAAAAGACGTTTTAACTTGACACTGTGTAATGTTTTTAGAGATTTATATAATGATGTGTTTCCTCAGGTGACTAATATTTCAAAAGGGATTTCTCAAGGTTATAATTATACGAAACAGCAGATTTTTTACGATAATTATGGTAGTAAATAATGGTTCAAAATATTTCACATTTTGCCAAGGATGCCAAACTATCAAGTTTGTCAGCTTTAAAAAGATAATTTGTATCAACCATTTCATTATAAAGAGTTGTAAGTAATAATTTCATAGATGATATTAATTTAGCTAAAATTGCAAAAAAATTTATTTATTTCATTTACCAATTTTCATCCCCTATTTAAAAGTGGTTTGTTGATCATGTAAAAAATGCGGAAAGCATCATAGTTTGAACTCCTTTATAACCAGAATTTTATTTTTTTATAAACATTTGCTTCTCTTTCATGTTATCTTTCTTTGCTTTTCTGTATTGCTATAAAATTTTCTTAGATAAAGATCAATGTGGTGTTTAAACAATAACTTGAGAAAATTTTCTTCAGCATTCACAGACCTGGATACAAGATTAGGTGCCTATCCATTTTAGAATAATTCCCCTTTGTAATTTTGCACTTTGAATGTGAACTTCATATGTTACACTTATATATACTGGCATACACAATCCCATGCACTCCTTTGTAACAATGATACGAGCTGCGTCACAACAAAACCAACATAATGCGTTTGCGACCAGCATGGATCCAGACCAGCCTGCGCATCCGCGCAGTCTGATCAGGATCCATGCTGTTCGCTTACCAACCCTTTTACAAGGTCTGAAACTGATAGCGAACAGCATGGATCCTAATCAGACTGTGCGGATGCGCCAGCTGGTCTGGATCTATGCTGGTCGCTTTAACGCACTATGTTGGTTTTGTCGTGACGCGGCTCATATTATATCAGCTATACAATAATTTAGACATAGAATAACAGATGTATATATAAATGTTTAGTAGCAGAATGTGGAAAATTGATAAATATATAATGATAATGATACAGAAATGAATGAACAAGAATCATAGTTAAGGAATATGTATTGTTATCCACACAAAGCAAGCATTCAAAAGGTTTCACAAAAAGGAAAGACAGTTATAGGCATAAGGTAAATAACAGTCATATAATTTTTGACATAGTAGTTCATAATAATAGGATATGATTTAACCCTTTCCTTCATGAGCATATTGTGAAAAATGGCCGTTTTCATTGAAAAGTCTCCTGTTGCAAGTTCAAACTGCTATGAAACTATGAAAAATGATTCAATACTGATGAAACTTGGCACAAATGCTGACTAGACCATAGTCTCTATAACAGCATGCTCAATCTTAAATTTCCTGTAACATTGGCAATGGGGGCACGTCTCAAAATTGCCAAAAATCATTATTTTGCATTGTTTTTTTTCCCCATCAAAACTGATTTCAAAGTGCTGCAACTTCACAATGGATTGAGATAGCCCAGCCACAAATGAAGCACATGCTTCAGGTAAGTCCCCCAGCTTTAAGTATACCTGAAATGTACTTCAGATATACTTACAGATAATAAGACCTGCTTCATCTGAAGTCCATTTACAGACTTCAATGATACACAACAACCATACTTCAAATGAAGCCCCTGGAACTTCAAGTATACTCTTCCTAACACATACCTGCTTCAGTAGAAGCCCAGGGAACTTCTGCTGGAAGTGCCAGGGACTTTGTTGATGCTTTGTAAACATTAATAAATAGATAAGAACAGTAATGGGGCTTCAATGATGCCTTAAACACTTATATGAAAATATAAAGCATATTTCTAGGGACTTCATATGTACTTTTGAGAATTGAGTAAAATTTAACTCACAAACACAAGTGATTGTAACATAATATAAACCATGTGTAATTGGTCAGTGAGGGGTCAAGAGTTTCTTCTTGCTGTTTTCATAATAACCTGTGTTAAACTCACCTATCTTATATAAAAGAAAGTGTTAGATAACTGGGGTTTACAACATGTAATCTAATATCCTGAACAAATCTGGCTCTCAGAAAATTCAAATATTACTGGGAAGTTTCTTTTACTCAGGAAGTTTCTTTGGACCTCAGTGCTTATACTTATTTATAAAGATGCTTAGGACTAAAGTTAAACATGTGCCTAAAGTGTCATTTAGATGAAACAACTTTATAATGTGAACTTTAATGAAATTATAATGGGACATTAAATGAGTTTTTCAATCAGATGGAAATGGAAATATACTATTGTTCAATGGAATAATGGTAAGCTATTTAGACTATTTTGTTACAACAGCCTTTTCAAATTTACCTTAAATTAACACTAAGTATAAGTTTAGTTTTTGTTTCTCTTCATAAATTTTACATATGTCCTAATTTAAATCTTTTTCACTGAGTGTTATTGAGGGGGAAATTTTAAATCTGCCCTTTTCTTTACATTATGAACCAGTAAATTACATGCCTGTGCAGGTCATGATTTTTCATAACATTTACATTTTGAGGGCAAGGGGACCCTTCTGTTATAGTAAATTATGGGTTATATTAACAGTACAATCAATCATATAAAAATGGAACCAATATTATTTTACCTTTGATAGAGTTTATCAAAATATTTCATAAGATATAGATTTATACCCTTTAACCATTTAAAACTTATATATATATAATTTATGATGCTTTAAATGTACTTCTTCAATGATGCTTTAAATGTACTTCTTCAATGATGCTTTAAATGAACTTCAACTTGATGCTTAAATTGTACTTCTTAAGATATATAGTGTTTGATGCTTTAAATATACTTCAATAAATGATCATGCTTTAAATGAACTTCTTTATGTTGTGCTTCAAATGTACTTCATTATTAATTTCAAGCTGATGTTTAAAAGGGCCCCAAGTGATGCTTCTATTGTACTTCTGGTAAAGCTTTAAAGGTACTTCCTAAATTGATACTTAAAATGTACTTCCCTGAGCCTACCATGCTGAGCTTGTAGGTACTACCTGACTGATGCTTTATATATGCTTTCTTAAAAGAAGTATCTTTGAAGCATAATTTAAATATTTTAGACGGAGCTTTAAGTGTACTTCCCCCTGTTCGAGTGAATGTTAAATTTTGCTCCATAAAATAAAGTACACTAGAAGCAGGTACTTAAGTGATACCATATTGATACTACATTGTGGGGCTTTATAGGTACTTCTATTGTACCTAAAACGTACTGTATTTGTGGCTGGGAGAGTAAAAGGCTTTTCAGCGTTGGTTACACATTACCGTACAATTGACCTGAGGCCATCTTAGCATGTCACATGCCCAAAATTTTATTGGCGTTGAGGGGGACTCCCACACCTTCACACCCCCAAAACAGAAGGGGGCACATCCCCCTTCTGGCAACCCCTTCATGTATCACCTTAATGAGGGGGCACCGAAAATGTGATCACTTTTTTTAACATGAAAAACTGGGTTTGGGGCCTAAATAGGGCATTTTTTCACTGTTTGAGGCCTAAAAAGGGGATGGGTTTGAAAAGGCGTTAAAACACTTCTATATGAGGTAAAGGGTTAAATGTTTGTATTTTTAAACCCTTCACCTACTGGCACCAAAATGATAAGACATTTCCACACAGATATACAAACTGACCAGGCTCTACCAACTTCATATTTTCATCTTAATATCCCCATCATTGATAATGGAAAGTTCCTTAACCTAGACAATTCTATAAAAAAAAATCAGCAAGTTAGATATAAGGATTGTCAGTAGGACAAGATATTGTTGATAAGTACTTCTTACATGCTTAAGTCTTACGAAAGGAGTGCATATGTCTTCATTTTGACAGAAGTTTTAGAATTTATTTCCAGGCAACAGATTTTAGAGTGACTGAAATATCTTAATTTCAAGATCTCACCACACTATCAAGCTCAAACAAATGTTTTTAAAAAGTGAATAATAATTTAGGTCAAGTCAACTATTATATTCAATCAGTTCTTTTGTATACAGAATGAAAAAGTAAATTTTGTTTGATAGAATCAAATTGATTTCCTGCAAAAATATCTGTTAATGTTTGTAAATTTTGTCCTCTTAGATGTTTTTCTGTCCTAACCATACTGTATAGACTAGACAGGGAGGAAATATAATACATCTCTGTTTTCCGTATAAATGTTAAAAGAGCTTTTGTCATTTGTGTAAAACATTTCCGTAGTATTATAAATTACTACTCCCTTGGGAACTAATTCATTATAACATTTTAGTTCATTTTATCCCTTTACCCTTTGCTAATCATATTTTAGATTAGTGCTATATGTTTAACAACACCATATTCTCTTACCCATGATTCATCCCTTCTTGTCAATAATTAAAGTTTAAGTTAAGCCTCTGTCACATCAGCTGCACAAAATTTGGTTTGTACGATTTGTTGAGAAATATGTGCCATAGAAACTTTGCAGGCAATTTCGCAGTTTATCTAGACAGATATATAGATCGTAAGGCAGATGTACGCTGTTCGTACGGCAGCCAAGTGGCTTGCACAATATTTAAGCTTAAAAGTAGGAAAAAAACCAACAACATTTTGTACGGTCGTCGCAAACTGACCGTGCAACAGACGTGCGATTGCTAAGACAGACGTAAGGCTATCGTACGAAATGGAAAAAAAAATCGCATGGGCACTGCATGCCAAACAAGAATTCGCAAGGCTGCCGCATGGTTGCCATACGATGTATGTACGTTTATCGTACAAATTCAAAAGTGAGGATTGAATGCAAAATCATCATTAGAGTGCCCCGTATTGTTTCAATCAAACCGGGATGGCAATTCAACCACATAGGTTGCATTTGAGTATTCTAAGATGGAGACTTTGTGAAGACTTTTGCCACGCAAAGTTCTGGCCTTGCTTATCAGAGCGCAACAAGGGAGGAGAAGATCAGGATCAGGATCAAATGATCCTGATTTTATTTTCATTGTTTTATGAAACTTAAATTGATCATACTTTGCTATAATTAAATGGTTCATATTCAAAATGTAAACAATTGCTGATTTGCAAAGAAACAACCCAATCTTGGGATAAAATCAACAAATTACAAAACAAAGTTAGAAATAATCAGATCAATTTAAGGATCAGTTTTAGCATCAAGATCAATATCCGTATCAAGTGTAAAATGCCCATATCTTTCAAAAATAATAATAAATTTTATATTAAATTTTATATTAAAAATCTGTCAAAAATCGCAGAAATAATGTGCATGTTGAGAAAACAGTCTGCAATGTCGTGGCAACCTTGCGACAGTAAGAATTTGTACGACTGTCTTGCACCTGCCGCACGAAACACAGCGAATTTTGTCAAAATGCGTTCGTACGGCTGCCCTGAGGCTGATGTGATAGAGGCTTAAGATAACCTAATATTTTACCTATACACAGGGTCTTTCTATTTTACATAATAAAAACTTATTAAATTTAAGTTATAGCATTTTCAATAACCCATTCACTGAGCCTCTGATTTGCTAATGGGAAATTCAATCAATTAAAGTAATAATATTTTATTGATAGCAACTATTGCTGGCTTTTTAACTTACCTTTTGGTTATGTTATAATTTTTTCTTGGAAATGATATTTACAGAATATTTTCAATGCTCAAAATTTTTATATGTCTATGTTATGTTTGTATCTGGATTTGTAAGATGAAGAAATTATTAATTTATGTAGTAAAAATGTTGAAAAAGATCACTTATTCTTGACCAAATAGTCCTCTGAAAGTCCTTAAATTGCCCAGGAAAAAAAGTTATAAAATCAATTGCTATGTTAGTGACTTGTTTGATTAGAACATGTAGTTATTTTATGTTCACCCCATTAGTTGTGAATGTTTTACCATTGATTGCTTCAAGTCTCTGATAGCTCAATATTATTTTACAATTAGTGGAAACGTGTAACTGTTTATTTTATCAGCCATCATTTGATGAGCATTTTAAAGAACACTGAGGGAAAATTTACTTCAGCATAGCATTGATTTTAAATAACAGGATGTGAATTTGTCCACTTTGTCAAAATTATCAGAAGGGAATTGTCAAGGTAAAAAAAACAACAGGAAGGGAATTTGTCCACTTGTCAAAAATATGAGAGAGGGATTATGTCAGGATGAAAAAACAGCAGGAAGGAAATCTGTCCACTTTGTCAAAATTATCAGAGGGGTATTGTCAGGATGAAAAAACAACTGGAAGAGAGTTTGTCCACTTTGTCAAAATTATCAAAGGGGAATTGTTCGGGTGAAAAAACAACAGGAAGGGAATTTGTCCACTTTGTCAAAATTATGAGAGGGGTATTGTCAGGATGAAAAAACAACTGGAAGAGAGTTTGTCCACTTTGTCAAAATTATCAAAGGGGAATTGTTCGGGTGAAAAAACAACAGGAAGGGAATTTGTCCACTTTGTCAAAATTATCAGAGGGGTATTGTCAGGATGAAAAAACAACTGGAAGAGAGTTTGTCCACTTTGTCAAAATTATCAAAGGGGAATTGTTCGGGTGAAAAAACAACAGGAAGGGAATTTGTCCACTTTGTCAAAATTATCAGAGGGGTATTGTCAGGATGAAAAAACAACTGGAAGAGAGTTTGTCCACTTTGTCAAAATTATCAAAGGGGAATTGTTCGGGTGAAAAAACAACAGGAAGGGAATTTGTCCACTTTGTCAAAATTATGAGAGGGGAATTGTCAGGGTAAAAAAAACACAGGAAGGGAATTTGTCCACTTTGTCAAAATTATGAGAGGGGAATTGTCAGGGTAAAAAAAAACACAGGAAGGGAATTTGTCCACTTTGTCAAAATTATGAGAGGGGAATTGTCAGGGTAAAAAAAACAACAGGAAGGGAATTTGTCCACTTTGTCAAAATTATGAGAGGGGAATTGTCAGGGTAAAAAAAACGGAAGACTGACAAAACCCCACCAGTTAAAACCCCACCACTCAAAATTTTATAGAGTGGACAAAACCCCACCACTAAATTTTACAGAGTGGACAAAACCCCACCACTTGCCAATTATTGGGCAAGATTTGATGAATTAAAATATATATAATATACAGTACACATTTTCACATTTTATTTTTTAATTTCAATATAACATTTGTGTAATACTGGTATAAGAGATTATACAAATAATTTACAAAATGTTAAATCAACATCAAAGAGTAGTCATTTATTTGAGACTGTGCCACATTTATGACCTTGAATTATCCATTATTTTAAGTTTCTTCAAATTCATGTCTTCAATTTATTTATATAAAAAATAAACTACTTACTATTAATCAAGAATGTAGCACATTTTCATCAATTAATGATTAGAAAATAGCACATTTTTATAGCACATTTCTAATTTATTCAGTTCAGACAATTTTCCTTCATTGTACTTCATTGTACTTAGTTTAAGTGGATACTGTGGCTGATAGCCTGAAGAAACTCGGGTACAGTCTTCTCCTTATTGATGAGTTGTTCACACATTCTTTTGAGTTTCATCTGCTGCACAATTGTTTGTTTTTTAACATGTTTACAAGAAAGTTTTGTCCACTCTATAAAACTGAAGTGGTGGGGTTTTGTCCACTCTATAAAATTTAGTGGTGGGGTTTTGTCCACTCTATAAAATTTTGAGTGGTGGGGTTTTAACTGGTGGGGTTTTGTCCTACATTCAAAAAAAACATAGGAAGGGAATTTGTCCACTTTGTCAAAATTATGAGGTGAAAAAACCACAGGAAGGGAATTTGTCCACTTTTTAAAAATTATCAGAGGGGAATTGTCCAGGTGAAAAAACGACTTGAAGGGAATTCATCCGCTTTGTCAAAGTTTAATGAGAGGGGAATTGTCAGGGTGAAAAAACAACAGGAAAGGAATTTGTCCACTTTGTCAAAATTATGAGAGGGGAATTGTCCAGGTGAAAAAACAACAGGAAGAGAATTATTGATGGTTTGAATTGATCCATGAATGTAACTCATTTTTCTTGAATCAATGACTAAAATGTTAGCTAAATTCATGACCAGCAATTATCCAAAAATAATTTGCAACATGTAAATCTCATTTTCAGAATTGATTTATTTTTTCCTCATTAAGTTCTTGTCTTTTGGATTCAGAATATGAATGCATTAAATCTGTGGTATTAAATTAAATTTCCTTTTATTTCAGTGAAGACAGAAGAACTGCAAACGTACTTGCTCTGGCTCCTGGCGTAGAATGTTTAACAGTAGACAGAGAGTAAGTATATTTAATTCATTGGCATATAACTATCGAAATTCATTTTTGTCACATCAAGTGACATAAATACATTTTAAAGAAAAAACATATTGATAGTTTTTGGTGTGTTTTTTTTCTCGGCAAAATAATTATAAGAATTGTGTTTCGAAACTTTCAAAATTTTAAGATTTATTTGACATGTTTTATTAGTAATGGGAACAAAATGATTAAAACGGATTTCAGAAGTCAAACATCCACTGTGAAATTGGATTTAGACAGGAATTTTCTTTTTGAAATGCAAAAAAAATCTCCATTTCAGTCTTGGGCTTTTTTCTTTACTATACAGAAAAAAATGTGATAGAAAAAAAGTGTTATTCTATTCCTTTTGATAATGTATGCAAAATACAACACCCTCTTTTCAAGTTTTTCATAATTTTTTGCAAAAGTAAGTACAAAAACATTGCTTAAAATAAAAGTTAGACACAACACATTGGAAGCAATTTCCGCTATTACAAAATTGCACCCAACTGCTATAGTATTATATAATTATACACTGTATTCCAATTGAGGTGTTTATCAGTGAACCAATTGTTTTTAGAAAAGTGCACTGATAATTCTATTACAGGAAGTTTATCTCCCACTTGAGAGCATTGAGTATGCTTTTATCATCAAGTTACAGTTTCCTCTCCTCACATTGTGTGGAACATTTATCAGTCTCTATTGCGTTGACATTTCAACAAACTCCAAATAAATGACACATATACAGGAACTTAAATTATGGCTTTATTTTAAAGTTTTATTTTGTTTACCACTAGTTTTCTTATTTTTTTTGCTCTATTTCTTTTTAGAAAAAAAAAATCTTATTGGCAGTTGCTGATTATTATAGAATATAGCCTTTGCTTCTGTCAATTATAACAAGCACAGAATAAAATTAAGAAATTACTTAGAATAGATGCTCCTCCCCTTTCCTTTGTCATTCTAAGTCCCGGACAGACCAGGAATTGTGTTCTGGGTCACCTACAGAAATTTTAATATGTTGTCTTGTGTGCACAGTTAAAATAATTAAAATTCATTATGTTTTACTTTAATTTCAGATCATTTAACCAACTGATTGGTACTCTAAGTGAATTGAGGGAGAAAGACTATGGTGATGAAGCAAGGGGAGTACAAAAGTAAGTATTAGCAACAATAGTATGGTTATGTTTTATAATAATTTCTACTTTATGACAAAAGCCCAAATCCTGTATTAGTCATTATTTATGATTTAGTTTGATGGGTAATTGTGCACTGATAAAATCCTGTTTTTTTGTATTTTTGTATAAACATTGAGATCATTAAAGGCCCATTAAGTCCAAAAATACCAGATAAATTACATGTACATTTTAATACTTGAGCAAGAAATACATTGTAGCTTCACAATGGCATGGTACTTAGATTTCTTCAGATAATAAGCATCCAACTTCATTATGAAAACAGTATAAAAGTACATGATTGATTTTTCTAAAAAGGAAAAAATAAATTCATTTCTGACACTTAATGTGCCTTTTAAGTGTTTAAATGATCAAAATGTTAGTTTTGGCTCTGAATTGATAAATTGTGATAAGTTATGAAAAAGAATATAATACATGTATATTCTATGCCTATTTTCCATTTTGTCTGACAAACAATTGCCATTTATTGTTTGTGTAACATTATAATGGGGAGGTTTACATAAGATATTTTTCACACTTTCATCAAAAGACTGTTACATAACATCACACCTAATTCATGCAATCTTTTTATCTTACCAACACCCTATAGAAATAGGTATGACAAACTGCTTAATTGATATTTCCCTAATTGGTTAATGATAGTTAATTGAACTACCAGGGTATTACGAGATATATCTACTCTGTATTTGATACAACAATCAAGAAACATATTCTCACAATTAAGTTCTCATACCTTCTGTTTGCTTAACAATACAAGTTTTTTTTTCACAAGTCAAGTTTCAAAGACAAGAACATATAAGGATATGTCCGCCTTTTTTATCAAATAACATCATTAATCAATGAAAGTTTTATTGAAAGTGTACAGAAATACGTTAATGGATATTGAATTGAGTGATAGAATATATATATATAAGATAGAATTTATTAATATACTTATATATTTTGTTCTGCTTTTGTTCTTTTTTCGTAAACTTTGAGTATAAACGATGGTACAGTGCTTAATTGCTCTCATTTTAAGACTGTTTGTAGACCATGTAACCGGTTTGAAAAAGTTGTAAGTACAACAATCTACAATGTGCTTTAGGCATTTTGTTTATTTTTAATTTGTATTTTATGACTTTAGTTTCGATTTCCATGCTAACTCCCTTTGCCATATTAAAGTTGCCTGTGGTGTATTTATTATATGCAAAAATTTGTTCTTTATATGTCTAACCATAACAAGCATTTAGTTTCAAATGCTTCTTATTTGATTTATTTCTTGTAAAGGTTATGGTATGTTTGTTTGTTAAATTTGTTAACCTACCAGAATAAGTTCTAGAGGTTTTGCATGTGGCAATTTCATTTTTTTAAGAATAATCATATTATTATATTTTGATTTATCATTTATATAATATTATGGAATAAGCAAATATGGTATATATTGTTCATACATAACATATATTCCACAGCTTGCACTCTTTTGAAGCACATCTTTAGTTTTGATATAAAGTTGTATCTTCTATACAATTTGATATATTTATATTGTTTCAATTTACTGGAATATGACAAAATTCAAATTTTAGAGAAATATTTCAATTAAACTTTGGCCTTTTAATGTTTGTTTTTTTAAACATAAACTGATTGTGGGCAAACTGAGCGGTCCTAATTCTACATGTTTTCAACACACTCATATCAATGCAAAAAATTAATCTATTTCTTACTTACTACTTTGGTGTGAATATAATATTATAGTAACATATAATTTTTTAAGTGAAAATAAGGTACCTGTAAGTCATGATATGTTATCTGGACATTGTTCTTTAATTATTGGTGAATCTTATTTACATTTATTATGCTAATTTTAACAGTTTCATTTGTGTTTTAATATCATGCAGACCATTGTCTTAGCTAGGATATATTAGCAAACTTAATGTGTCATGGTGGCGTTGCCGAGTGGTTGACACATGAGACTAGAAATCTAATGATTGCTGGCCATGTGGGTTCAAATACTGTCAGTAGCAAGCAGAAACTTAATACTCTTTGCTTTGTACTGGTTGGTTCCAGGAACGGATTTGACTGTGTTTCAACAAGCTTCCAACATAATGGAACTTAAAGACTTATGCTAAAATCTAAACTGTATCTGTGACAGGCATCAATACTTAAACCAAGCTAAAAAATGATCTGCAAATGTTACAACACAGATCTTCAAAATTGAATTTATCTCTGCTGAAATGTGATTAGGGCTTGTAGGTAAAAAACATTGTAAAGTGCATAGACATAAGGCTTTTATGACAATATCATCTTTTAAGATTATACGCTTTATGCTTTAGTCATAATGCATCAACGTCAACATATATTAAGAAGAGAGCTGTTAGATGCCATGTTAACAAAAGGTTTCAGTAATGTGATATTACTGAAATAGTGAATTATTACTGACAGATCAAGTCTGTACATTATTTTATATGTTGAAAATTCACAGATTTTATTCAGGGAGAGACCTTTTGTACAGTTCTTTGCTGAATGAATTATGCCTCCTCCATTGCTATATTTTGCTTCTTTGTATATAATGCAATTTTGATTTTGATATTTTTTGTGAAAAGCTGGATCATTTGATATTGTTTTGAGATAAGGTTACCGTATAGACTTGAAAAAGTCAAACCCATTGACATGTATATAATCTAGCTTAAACTTAACTCAATAGATTGTTTAAATCTGAAGTTTATGATTGGATGTTATTTAAATTGACCAAGATAATGAATTTATTACTGCAAAGCCTATATTTTAAGTTATTCATCTTAAGGAAGTATAAGCAATATTGTTTTCAATATCAAACATAGTATTTTATTATTGAAAAAAAGAAGAGAAAATAAAAGTGAATATGAATTTTTTCCGTACATTTCAGAACAAGTGTAGGTGCAGGATCTGATGGAGTCGTGTCACCAACTGTTGACCGGATTGATCCGGAATATCAGTTTATACGTCTTGAAGATATGGAGATAGTAGCTACACTTGGGATGGGTGGTTTTGGTCGTGTGGAACTGGTATGCTACTTATTTTGTGATTTTTATTCTGCTGAATTTTTGTTAGTATAGACCTCTGTCAATTTGATTAAAATCAGCTTGTAAATAACACTGTGATGAAGTATCTGATGGTGAGTGATAGAGGTTACCTTCTTTTGACCTTCTTCCAATAAGTCAATCAGTTTATTTCTTTTGCATCTACATGTATGAGTTTCTATTTCTAACCATTTAGAAGTCAGAAATGTATATGTGATTTAAATGATTTCAAAGTATTCCAGGTGAACAATAATGGTGACGTCTTAACTTTTATTTACATAAGAAAAACCTATAATCAATGCTTAGATACCAAAAAAATGATAGAATCCAATTTTCCACAGAAATTATATTCCAATTATCTACATAGTTTTTTTTTTCTAAGGCAATTATAATATGTCTGACTAAACAGACGACATGAAATTTTTCTAAAAATATACTCATAGGAAAATCCAAATTGGCTAGAAGGTGAAAATGAGTTATTGGCGATCAGATATATTTGTAAACATAAGTCATAAACTTAAAAAAATAGAGATAAACAGAATCCCTAAAGAAAGCCCAACACGGCAAAATTGACAATGTTGCAGGCTCGGTTTGATTGAGCCTGTTTAAGTCAGATTGAGACCTCTCTCCTTTTTCAGGATTGTGATAAATGTTCACACAAACAATTTTCATTTGAACATGGCATTACAATTGCTATGTCCTTTTGAGCTGTAAACTGAATGACAATGATGCTTTAATTTGAAATGACATAGTTAATGATGAAATTAATAGTTGCCCAAAATAGTGATAATGAATACAACACATTAAGATAGACATTATTGTTTTCGCTTTTACAATATGAAGGTTTTGTTTGAAAATCACCGACTCAATTTTATTGCGTCTATATATGAGAGATGCAGTCCTCAACACTTCAAGCCTTTGAATTGGTGATTCCATGGAACTAGAAAAATATAAATCTCCATGGCAATTGCTTTTACATAATATCATATGTGCAATGGACTGGTTTAGTGTTTGCTGAAATAAATCATTTTAGTGATTTTAGTGAACTATTTATATTATCTAACATAAAAGTCAGATGTCAGGAATATGATCAATATAAAGGGTTAAATATCATTGTGTGTAAGAATCTAGTTCCAGGGAATGGCAAGTAACAGCCATGTAATTTCATTGTCTAAAATAATTTACTGCCTTTGTTGAGAAAAAATACCTTTAAATAACAAATAAATCCTTTGACTTCTTTATTTAGTAAATTTTTGAATATAATATTTACTTTATCAGTATTTAATTTGGTTTTGTAAATGTCTCTTGATGCTAAAACTTGCTTCTGATTTCTTTCATCCATAATGGCCGTCTTTTGACTTTTATTGAAGACTTTTTATTGAATGATTTTGAGGGAAGAAGTGCTTTATTTCTAGTCCCCACACAAATTAAATGTAAGTTTAATCAACTTGTAAATGCTATTATTTTCTAATGGAAATGGGGTTTAAAGCATTGAAGGGAAATAACTTAAAATGTGATTGGAAAACTTAGACTACACAGTTAGGATAAATTGAATACAAAATCTTGTAATATAATTTTCATCAAATAAATTCATTACATCTTTCTATATCAGTAAATGTGCTTTAAATCTTATTATTCAAATAAAGAGACAACTTAGACTGTGTCACACAGTTTCTACCAGCATTCAATGGTATCTAAATAGGTTTTGTGTTCATTAGCGTGGTATAAAAAGTCATTAGAAAGATGTTGTAAGTCTGTGATAAGTCTGAAAACAGATTAACATTTTAGAAAACAAATGATTTTAGCTTTGAGATCAATATAATATTTCCTGTTATTTCAGCATGTTTGCTTATCATTTGTCACCAGCTGTGCCGGTGTTTGATTCTAGTTTCAGATAATACCCCTATATAACATAAAATATTGCTTGATTTATAGCATTCAAGAAGACACATACTTGTTTTATAGCTATCAGATATACTGTACACTTCTGAAAATAAAGAGATATTTACAAATGTTCTATTTTGCTGAGTATTTAATTCAGATGCTCAGGGCTGTCTCAACTCTAGAATTATAATTACTGGTGACCAGACTTTAGGTGCTTATTTAATTGTTGTCCTTCCATTATAATTTTCCCACTACAAACCTTTTTAGCACTTTATAGCACACAGACATAATTAGATATAGAAATGTCAATGGAGTACAATTAACAAACTGTACTTCTCTCTTCCAATGGCAAGGACTGCTTAATTGTTTATGAAAGTTGCTATCAATTTTGTCTACATTACAAGTGATTTATCATTTTTGACAATAGGGCTCAAAATAAATGTTTAGTGGACATTGTTGAAAATGGTAAATGGATGCTTTATAAAAAAAATCAATATTGACAGACAAGAGATTATATAAGAAAAGTAAAAGAGTTTCTCTGTTAGCTGGTAGATGATGAAAACAATAATCATTTAAGATAACTTTTATTGCATCTATAAAAATATAGATTTCCTGTATTCTCTTACATAGAGGATGTATATGTTGTATAATATTTGTTTCTAGGGAATATATAGACTATAAACATCTTCATTATCTATAAATTATAAAAAAAAGATTCTCATTAAAATTAGATTGATAGATAAAGGCAAGAATGTTTTATATTTTTCCCATATACATCATTGATATCTACAGCATAATGCACTGTAAGTCAGATTTATTTCAATTTGTGTTAGTTTATTTCATTTCAAGTTTATTTTATTTTGTGTTATTTCAATATGTGTTTGTCATTTTGTGTTACTTCATTTTGTGTTCCTTTCATTTTGTGTTATTTCATTTTGTAATATTTCAATTAATGTTAATTTCTGTTTGTGTTATTTCATATTGTGTTTATTTTATTTGTGTTTATTTCATTTTGTGTTAAATTTCAGGTGCAGCTGGCTGCAGATAGAAGTAAGACATTTGCTCTCAAGTGCCTTAAAAAGAAGCATATTGTTGAAACTAGGCAACAAGAACACATTTATTCTGAGAAGAAAATTATGATGGAATGTAGATCTCCCTTCATCACGAGGTAAATTACACAAGATATAGTATTATCATTATTATTATTCCTCGAGGGACCTTGGATTCTTTAATGTAAGGAAGTTATCCAGTAAGCTTACAGATTGTTAGTGGTTCTGCTCAGGTGCCTGAAATAAAAGGCATACAGAGGGACAATTTAGGTCTTTCTCCATCAATAAAGCTTGAAAGTGGCCATATGACTCATCCTTTAATGTTGCAACATAAAACTTACCCCCTTTAAAAAAAACAAAACCTCTCAACTTCTGGCAGCAACAGGTTTTACCCACACAAACAAGTGCAGGCCAAGAAACTGTATCGTCTGATTGTGGACTGCATTGATCACTATGCAGTCAATAAATATTCTGAAATTGCCTTAAATTGATAAATGGTTTTGCTGTGATTGAAAAAAAGTAGAAGTCTTTTTAAGGCATTTACCAATGAAAGTTGCTAATGTTATAGATTTGAAATATATTAACTAGACAATATCTCATTCACAGGTTATACAAAACATTCAAGGATCGTAAATTTGTGTACATGATGTTGGAAGTATGTTTAGGTGGTGAAGTGTGGACTATATTAAGAGATCACGGAAGTTTTGATGAAACAACATCACGATTTGTGGTGGCATGTGTGCTAGAGGCATTCCAATACCTTCATTCCAAGGGTATCATTTACAGGGATCTGAAACCTGAAAACTTGTTATTAGATAATAGAGGCTACATTAAACTGGTAAGAAACTGACAATGTTTTTTTTTTCCCAAAAAATTTGAATATGAATGTCATAGTGTTTTCAATTTTAGACAGTCAGTTATGATAAGTTGTAATAGCACTGCAACAAAAAAGAGAATTGTATCTTTTACAGTATGAAATATTTGATTACTCCAGTGTGATACATTTCTTGTAATCAATTATCATTGTTCTATGACTTTATACAATGGGTTTCCTCAAGGAAGCCTTTTGTGAAAAAACATTCTTCATATGACTTATGGTGAAAAATGGTAGAATAGTGCTTAAATGCCAATCCTTGACTGCAAATCAGTTAAAAACTTTAGATAAGCATGATTATGAAAAAGCATTTTTGCAGTCGCTTAATGTCCACCTCCTTGAACTAATAAATACTGGCATCTGGATTTAATACAGCTTTCTTTCTTAGTTATGACTCAAATACTGGCATTGGGTTTATAAAGCTTTCTTTCAAATTGCAGGATTTTCATTGCTAAATTAGGTTTCTGTCCAATCCAATATCTGAGATCTGATTTTGAGCTTAGAAAAAAATCCTTATTACTTTTGACCCTGGTGTGATAAAAGAAAATAATAGAGCTAAAACCTACAATCCTTTGGTTAAAAGGCAAACACCTTTAACATTATGCCTCTGTTCCACTTAAATCATTAACACTAGGAAAATATTAGTAAGAGCATCAAATAGAAAAATCATTCATAACCCATGCAGTGGTCTGAATAAAAGAATTTGCATGATAATGATAGTTTGCTGCTCTTCTGAATTTTAAATAAAGTCAAGGAATTAAAGTGCAATTATTGTACATTATGAGCCAGTATTCATGCTGTATTCATTTCCTATATTTGATAGCTACATTTGGGTTATCATTGTATATTTATTACACATTATATAAACTGAATTTAAACAGCAGAATCTTCTTGCAATTTTTCCACAAGACTTCATCAATATTTGATCTTATTCTCTCATGTGAATTGTAATTATATGGTTACTTACTCCATACTTCATCAATATAAGGCAGTATTGTTTCAAAATATGCAAAACGTGACAACTTAATGGGTTACAAATGTTCCTTGTGGACATTTTAGTAGACACAGCATTCTGTTTATGTAAATATGGTTTTATTGATCTCACAGCATGTTTTGCATTTATATATTAAGTACTTGCAATAAATATCATGGTAACATGTTAAACTTACTAAATGTATCCTTATTCATGACCTATTTATTGGAATAGATTTTCAACTTAAATTAAAAATGTATTAATATTATGCTCAAATTTGATGTTTGAAAATACTGATAATTGCTATAATACAGTCTCTTTAAATGTAAAATAAATATCTTTTGAGTTCACACAAATATAAATATATACATTTTAAACTCTACAAACACAGTATGAATGCTTGAGTGTCTTTAAAAAAACTGGCAAAGGATATCAATTTTACCATTATAAGTGAATGGAGCTTCCAAAACTTAGTTTTAATATGCATTTTTTCATTAAAACTAGACATATTCAGTGACAACTTCCAAAATTTCAATAAATTGCTGCAAAATGTATTTTACATAGAGATGAGAATAGTATATCTTTAACTTTAATTATATTTGCTATAATGCTCTCTTGGCACCAGTATTTTCTAATCAGTTGCAGTTTCTTTAGTAACTATGTCAATGGCTTTTCAGATTGTAACTTTGATAAACCTTGGAAATGTCAGGAATTTAATGAAAATAGCCTTAGACCAATTTACAATTCATAATGTCATACAAGTCATAAATGAAGGTATTTTATGTTTTGTCAATAGGTTGATTTTGGTTTTGCAAAGAAGATTGGTTTTGGGCGTAAAACATGGACGTTTTGTGGAACCCCAGAGTATGTTGCTCCTGAGATTATCCTGAATAAGGGTCATGACTTCGCAGCGGATTACTGGTCGTTAGGAATACTCATGTTTGAATTGCTGACAGGGAGGTACATTATTTCTTTGAATTACTTTTGAATAAGATTTGGATAAAACTAAACGATTGTAGGTTAATGTATTTGGTCAAAATATCTCTTTCTTGAAAAATGTAAAATGCTTTTAAGTTCAAAATGGCAATAGTAACATACTTAACTAAGTGAATGCAATAACTTCATAATTTTCAGGTCTGTTAAACATTGTTTATTTTCAAAACTGCAAAATTACAGTTTTTATAAAATCAAAAGTAGTAAAACAATTTAATTTATAATGCTCGTTAAATTAAAGATTAATGACAAATTGTGGTTATTGCACTATTTGTAATGTTAGGTGATGATTTTTATATTGACAGCAAATTGTTATTACTTGTTATTGCCTGATACTCAAGTTTATTATATTTTCTCCTTGTAGTCCACCATTTTCCGGCTCAGACCCCATGAGGACATATAATATCATTTTGAAAGGGATAGATGTAATTGAATTTCCCAAGAAAATCTCTAGAAATGCTCATGTGCTCATCAAAAAGTTATGTCGTGATAATCCAACTGAAAGACTTGGTTATGGCAAAAATGGCATTGTTGATATTAAGAAAAACAAGTAAGTTAGAGCTGTAATTATAACTACACTAGATTTAAAGCTTTAACTTATTTAAAAATGGATAGTTATGATAGGATTGAAAAGGGTCATCAGTTATCATTTATTTCAATTATTAGGTTTTGCAATTATAAATGTTCATTGATCTATGTAATGTGCTTATTTTTTCCGGAAATTTCTGTATGTAGAGAGCTCACATTAGTAACTTGTTAGTGTATAAATCAGTTCAAATCATTACCAGGTGACTTTTTTAAAGTGCAACTCCTACAAATCAATCGTTTTTGGCAACTATGAAAACTAGCAAATATAAAGTACAAAAACATAATTCTGAAAAATATCATAATTGCCTGTATGAATCATATGATTGCACTTTTTTTGCTAAGTCATTGGTAATTTGATATTATGTATTGTAATAAAGCCATTTAATAAAAGCAATATTACACTAGCCTAATATCAATTTGTTGTGACATAATTTGCGCTTAATACAATCTCGCATTAATGCGCGCAATTAAATGTCAGCATTACACTATATGACTCTTTTTTAACTGTATAACCTGCTCTTATTGTGGGTATGTGATAAATAGAATATTATATTGTTGAAGAGGCTTGCATAATATGATTTAATTCAACTCATTTGATAAATGTAGTATTAAATCTACATTCATTCAAGATTCTCTATATATAACACATCTCTTGATACATTTCAGATGGTTTCAGGGTTTTGACTGGGATGGTTTGGTAAAGAGAAGTATGGTACCCCCTCTTGTACCAAAGGTAGGTTTTCTACATATACTTTTGCATGATTGTGATTCTCTATTTAAATAATGCTTTCCATCAGTCTTTAACATCTATCTAGCTTTTTCAAGCTGTCAAATATCCAGGCTTTTGCATGCAACTGTCTTACTGTTTTGTAAACTTTTTTTTCTTTTTCTAACTATTATAAGGAGCTATCAATTATTTTATTGATTCACTTGGAAAAATATTTACATGGTTGTACATTCAGTACAGTTAAAATTGTTTGCTTTATTATAACATCAGCTTAAAGTATTAGCTCTGGGTATGCAAGTTACTTTTTATAGCATTGCCCCAAGCGTACTTACCATTGGAACATTCCAAAAAGCTTATATTTTTTAAAACATTAACTGAATAAAGCTTTACAATGGTTAGATTGCCCCAAACTCTCATAGCCAAGTAAATTACTTTATCAAATATACAGAAAACTAAGAGAATGGTAGTTACATTTAGTTGTGGGGACTAGAATAATTCTTCTTTGTTGCCATAGTTACAATTAATTGATTTCTTGAATTTTGAACATATTGTTCAAGTGACAACTTAAGTCTTTAGAATTCTCCAAGTATTCTGTGACAAAGGCTGTCTTGAGATGATGACTTGCTTTTAAAGTATTTCCTTTGGATTTTATTTACCTTAATTTTTAGAAATAACTTTTCAGTTTATAAGGGGTTTCATTTATCACAAAAGAAGACATAAATCATTTATGACTGATATTCTATGAACTAATCTCAAGTTCAGGAATAAAAGACGAGAGTTGTAGCTACAAAACCTGCTGCCAATTATTTCTTTATCTTGTGAAATAGAATAGATTAGACTGTAGTGAATTTCTCTAGTGAGAAGTGAATTTCTCTACTTTTCAAAGAATAATGAAAATGTAACATGTGCAATATTGAATATAGGAGGACACACAGAGTAGATTTTTAGACTTCAAACAGGTGAGCTCTTATTGTGACCTTAACCTTTACAGTCGGAACTATTTGGTCAATACCCTTATACTTATATACTATGTACTCATGAAATTTGTTCCAGCAGGAAATACTTGTCATTCTGGAGGCAGTCATTTATACTCTGTATTTTCTTTTCATTGTCATTATCTTAAATAAATTGATCTTGATCATTTATAATTGTGAATCATTGGAATTCACTCTGTAATTGGTAAAGAAAGAGACAGAACAGCATCTAGGTGGTTTCATGTTATTTTATTGTGATTACTGCTGCAGAGGGATTACCTTTTATCCAGATTTATTCCTCTTGCAATTGAATATATTGTTAAGCACAATGTTAAATTTAATTGAAATGGTTAAATAATGAATTGGTTACTCAGGATAACAGTTTTAACTGCATTCATTTGATACTATAACAATGTTTCATACACTTGGCTAGCAGCAAGTGACTCAGGTTTATCAATAAGTCTATGTATGTAAGTTTGTGTGTCTGACAGTTGCTGCCAATATTTTATCAGGCAAATTTGTCTTGAAAATTGATATAAAAGATAACAAAACATATTTTCACAGATTTTAAAGTTTCTATTGCCTAAGAAAAGAAAGCCAAAGGTATCAAAAATTGGTCACCTCATTCACCATTTACATTTAATCCAATAAAAACTCACATAAAATGTTGGAAGATGATTAAAACAATTTGTGTCACGGGAAATAAACAAAATGAGATTTTCACTGTGTTGTACACCTTGCAAAAGGATTGTCATACCAAACATTGGAATTGCATATGTATGAACCTTGGCTAAGAACTTGGCTTAGAAAAAAAAATTAGATACTTCATCAAAATACCATTGCTTTAATAAACTCAACAATGATCTGAATGCTTAAGCTATGATGCAATTAACTCAGTTGATATATACTTATTGCAGTGAATAAGCTTTTATATTCTTTTGATTTTATAACCTTTAATAATTTAGAGGTACTTGCAATCAAATTCTAAGAACCAATTTTTGTGATTGAATTAGCATTTTGTTAGCATTAGCATTAAAATATGGCACAAAACCCATATAGTTATTGCACTTTTTACCAATGGCAATATATGTGACACTTTTACATATCACTTATAAATCAGACGGAACTTTAAAATGATGTGTTTGTGTTTTATTTCTTTAATATATGAAATATATTATTACTATCAATATGGTAATATATTTAGTGTTATTATATTTTATTACTGTCAATATGTTAACATTTAATAACTATCAATATGTTAACATATTTTATGTTATTATATTCTATTATTATCAAATTTATTTTATAATACTATCAATATGTTATTATGCTTTATTACTATCAAATGTTATTTTATTACTATTAATATGTTATTTATCTTTGTTTTAATATGTTTTATTATTATTATGTTGTTATATTTTATTACTATTCAATACATGTTATTTTATTTTATTACTATCAGTATGCTATTATATCTTGTAAATGTCAATATGTTATTATATTTTATTTATATCAATATGTTGTTATATTTTATTTATATCAATATGATATATTATATCTTGATACAAACAATGTGTTATTATACTTTATTATATTATTGTTTATATATATTATTATGTATAAGTTGTTATAGTATATTACTATCAATATAATATGCTAATATATTTTATTACTATCAATATGTTATTCACAATGTGTAATATCAAGAATGGTGAGGTTGTTAGATCTGCTAGTTGCTTTGTTATTGGTATAAACAGAATTTACCATCTTTGTATGATATGTGTTATGTGAATTGAAAATTTATAATTGAAAATCTGTTTTAATTCTTACAGTTTAATGATTCGTTTTAATATTATTGATTTGTATATGATACTAGGTGAAAAAATAGTGGTTTCTTATTAAGTATTGCAGTCAATTTCTGTGCACCAGTTACTTTGATATTATAGGATAAATACACAGAAAGTAATTCAGTCAGTCATAAGCAGTGAAATGAATTAATGCTGACATATTTTAAACATATGATGTGCATACTTTCATTTCTATCCAAATCATGTTTTATAATTGAAAATATGATACACATGAATTTTTAATTACTGTTTCAAAACGTTAACTCTAAAATGTATTGTTTAGGCAATGCTGTAATAGATACAATAACTTTATCATTTTAGGTGAAGGGACCTGCAGATTACAGCAATTTTGACCATTATCCAAAATCCCTTGAGGTACCTCCTGATGAGCTTTCAGGCTGGGATACTGACTTCTGAACAATTCACTCATGATATATTCTGTGATATACGCATTACAAAGGTATGCACACATTGCTTGGTTAATTTTGAAAAAATCATCAGAATTATTGAACAAACTTTGTTATCTTGGACCATTTATAGTCATTATCAAATTCTGAGTTGAGAAGAATAGCTAGTGGAAATGTTTTCTGAATTTTTGCATAGAAATAGTTTAGCATATTGGTTGTTATGACTGTCATCTATATATCTGTCAATTTTAGCTGATTTAATTTCAGCATGTTGAATTGCAGTCAAACATCTAAAAACTCTTGTTTGTTTTGTTATCACTTATATAGAAACTTATTGTAACTATTCAGTTTAATCAGATATTTGATCTATACAGATAAATCTCTTGCATGCATGTGTAATCTTTTAAAAAAATAATTCTTTTTTTTTACATACTTTATAAATTTGATAATTTGTGCTCACTGTCGTTTTTAATTGTTAGGTAACTCAGTGAAAAATAATTATAATGTGGCATTGCTTGTAGCAAACTTGTAGTTCTAGCAAACTGGGTCAAGGATCATTGGAATACAAAAGAATTTTGTAACAGAAACCTAACTGATTTGTGACAAACTGTACTGAACCATGGGAAATAAAATAGATGATGCAGCATTAGCAATCTTGCCAAAGAATGAAATAATTCTTAAGTAGCACATGTGATGCAAAATGACATTAACGTTTCAATATACACATATATTGGATGTTTATTAGGAGCATGTAAACAGTAGTTTCAGTACAACTAACTCTAGTTTCCCCTTGTATGTTTATAATTTTCCTCTGTAGTTTTGTTGATTTGATATTTGTACTATTATATACCTTTAAAGGGCTGGTCAACACTTCAAATGTATCTGTTTATTTCAGGGTTTCTTGTATGTTCGTTTATTTTATAATTGTATTTTGTCTATATACCTGAATTGTGTATGTTCATAAATTTACCAGGAAAGTCTTTGCTGTGGGGAACAATGTGTTCAGTTGTTACATTAAGCTTTTTGAAAACTATTGCAATATTCTGTATGTATTAAATACACAGTTTTACTTGTATTCTTATGCTGAAGATAGAAATAAACTCAACAAAACAAACTGCTTGCTTCGGGAGAATATTTTTTAGCTGCAAAAGTTACAAACTATAATAGTTTATATGAATATGATTATTTGGACTAAGATAAAATATATTGATCTGTTATTGTACCTAATCAAAACAAATTACATTTTACCAGTAGCTCCTCTTCCAGTGTTATATTTTATTTCAGAAATGATATTTGAAAACTTCACTTGACTGCATATTTTTTAAATAAATTTAAAGCATGCTTTTCGTTAAGACATAACACAATGTCTTGCCATTGTGGATTTCTAGTTATAAAAATTGAACAGTCATTGTGAACTAATGTTGGGCCACAATAAATATTTCAATATTTTGGAAAAACAATATTTTTTGTATTATGATAATTTGTAGGGATAGACACTCCATGTAAACATGTTATGATGTATTATTGTTGCACATGCATAAAATCAAAATGTGGCTTTTTAATATCATAAAATTAATACATTTTCTGAAATTAAGAAAGAACCGTATTTAAGTACAAATTAATTGTGTTTCAACTCAGATTTGTTATTAAAATACCATTTTATGTTATTAAAAGTGAGAATTTGCTCATGTTATTCTGATGCACATTTCTATGTATTCTCAGATATTTGAATTTTAGTGTATGTTGTAGCTTTCTTGAATACTTTGAGCAAAATGATTAATCTTTGTCAACATATGCATAGGATAAATTTAATATGGCATTATCATACCCCCAAAAATGATAATGTGTTCTTATTATATTCAATAGAATAGAATTTATATAGAAACTTTAATTCTAGTTTAAACTGCTATGCATGCCTTAATTTAGATTACAAATGCTTTAAATGCCTTTGGTCTACCTCAATTGCTCAGTTTGCATTTTGTTAAATACTAGAGATTTTAATTGTTTTAAGTCTACTTTTCACCTACTTTTGATTAAATATACCAGTTTTCAACTCTAGTACAATATATAGTAAAAGTCATTTAAACAAAGAGTGTTTCTAACATTTTACATATATTTATAGTTTCATATACATCTCTTATTCATTGTTTTGGTTTAAACTACCGTTTTTTTTAAACGAAATGTTTGTTTTGAAACATCAAAAGAGTCTAATTATATATCATAAATTGAATTCAGAATTAAGGAAAACGTAATAGTGTTATTATTTCGGTGTATTGTTTTAAAATATGTGACCTTTCTCTCTGCTTTGTATGTTTTTATGAGATTGTTATGTATGTATTCTTTGTACATATATTGTATTGTTATGTTCTATTTTTTATATCATAGACATCAAGTTCATACCATATTTGCAAGCAAAACAGAACGATTAAAATGATAAATCTACAATGCTTGTCTTTGTGCTTTCTTTTATAAATTATTTAGTCCTGCATTAAAACTGTGCTTGCAGGTGCACATTAAACAGTATGAAACACGCGTAAAAGGGACATGCCGAGACTAGAGACTAGTTTTTCCAGTTTAATATTTCATTTGATTGAATTCAAGACCAATAACGTGTGTTGAATTTTAGATCATTTGCTCACTACGTTTTCCCAAAATAGTTATTTTAATTGTTTAAAAGTACACTTATCGCTCCAGTTGGGCTAAGAATAGCACACACATACGACTTTTTAATTTAATCTTTTTCTAAGAATATTTCTTAAATATCTTTTGCATATCTTTCTGTTTTAATTGATACAGCTGATCTTTTTTTTAAATCAAATTTTGTTTTATTGCATTTTGATCTCAGTGAAGTTCCATTACGAAACGAGAATGCAACATGTATTAACGGATATAATGTTGATATAAATTGCACGTTTTATGTCCACTTCGAAAAAAAGGCGGTTGTACTGTCATGTCTCTCTCGTAGGCCAACTTTTTTATTAAGTTTTAGTTTATGGTCAATCATTTCAATACTAACACTTTTAAACTTTGCATAAAAGGGTCAGGGTGAGCTATTACTATCAAATCTGGATACTCCAGCGTTCGTAGACCGTCGTCATGTGTCAAAATTTATCTTCTTCTCTGAAACTGCTAGGCAGAATTACCTTAAATTTTATCTGTAGCATCCTTGTGATAGTCACACTTAAATTTGCTCATATCATTTCAATTGGCCCCTTATAGGGGTCAACAAAGCTAAAAATAGAAGAACAAAAAAAACATTTAAAAACCTTCTACTGAACTAATTAATGGATGATCACCAAACTTAGACTCATCAAATTTGCTCATATTAATTTGACTGGCCCCATTTAGGTGCCGCTCAAGCTAAAATTAGAAAAAAATCTTTAAACATCTACTGAACTAATTGATCGATTATCACCAAACTTTGTCTGTAACATTCTTAATTAGGTAGTCTTTTATCAAATTCGCTCATATTAATTTGATTGGCTCCTTTTAAGGAGCGCTCAAGCTAAAAATAGAAAACCTTTAAACATCTTCTCAACTTACTGATGGGTGATCGCCAAATTTTGTATCATTCTTAGGTAGTCTTTTTTATCAAATTTGCTCATATGAATTTGATTGGCCACTTTTAGGGACCGCTAAAGCTCAAAATAGAAAAAAGCTCTCAACATCTTTTACTGAACTTATTGATAGATCAACAAACTTTATCTGTAGCATTCTTAGTTGGTCTTTTATTAAATTTGCTCACATTAATTTGATTGGCCCCTTTTAGGGGCCTCTAGAGCTATGGCTCCAGGACATGTTCAAATCTAAAAAATATTTCTAACATGTTTCTAGTGAGCGGTTCAGGGCCATCATGACCCGCTTGTTATAGTTTAGTGTTTTTTTTCCTCAAAACCAATCACAACCTTTTCTACCTTATTCCATCATACTACTGAGGAAGGAAAGTGTAGCGCGCTTCTCTTTAAGACAGCAGACTCACAAGAAAATGCGTTATAAATTTTCATCTTTTTGAAAGAAACGCTAAATCATAACATATAAATAAATATGAATAATCCTTTGTAACTCATTACTTCTGAGGTGAAATATTATTCCAAAGATTAAATAATTTTCAAATGTTATTTAAACTTATGATAAATCTTGTGTAAAAATCTAGCTAGTTGGTAAAGTATTTAAAACAAATTTCACAAGCATAAAGCAGCACTGTCTGAAAGGATACACGTCACTTTTTAATGCAGAACAAACTATTGAATTCTAAACATTAAACGCAAAAAAATGAAAACAAAGTGTTTCTCAAGCATGTTCAGACTTTGTCAAACACGTGTTGTCATGTGTTGCCTTGGCAAAAGCAAAAATAATGTAATTATGAAGTATTTCAAGTATTGTTAAAAGAATGATTTAGCACGCCTTTTACACACCATTCGGAAATAATTTAAAATTTCTTCGAGGCTGTTGAATTATTATGATTAAAATACAGAAATGTATGTTTAAGTGTTTTGCACAGTAGTTATTTGATGTATTTCACAAATATTGCGTGTATTCATAGACACAAAAGGTGTTTTCTCTTGTTTTTAAATGCACCCAATTCAATTGAGATCGACAAGGAACAAAACAAATTTGATCAAGCTAACGTGGTATTTGAGAACGTGACTTTACATACATATTGGTCAATATTTTCCATTTGCATTGAATTATATTGAAATTAAGACTTTGTGTAATTAAACACAATTAAAGTATTAAATCATTTCAATAGTTATAAAAAAAGCATGAAACCTGGTTCTAATTGTTTCAAAGTGAAGAATTAAAGACTAGTTGTAACAGAGAGTATTGGTGTACATATTTTGAAAAGCATAGACTGATCGCATATGATATACGTACAAAATTTTAATATTGACACTGAATGTAATAAAAGAAGAAACAATTTAGTCTCATAAAAGTGACGAAGCCAACGTGTTACCTACCAGATTGGTACAATTAACCTGGATGGGAAATAAAAAAAAATATCTTAGGTAGAAGAAGTTTCTATGTTTGAGTTAAATTAACAGAGCTGCATCGATTATGGTTTATATACGTAAACG